AAATGGAAGGAAGGAGGTGGAAGGTGGAGGATAAGGAAAGGACTTTAATCTCCATTTACATAAATTTCTATCAGGAAGCAATAAAATAAAATTCTATCTTGGACCTGGTCATTTCGCTCACAGGCATCTAGGGTAGGAGAACAGTCTGCAAAGCCTTATTATATTCAAAGATAATAATAGCTAATAGCTATTGAGCCCTTCATTAGTGCTTTATATCCAGAGACTGAATTGACTGAATGAATCCAAAATCAACCCATGAGGCATGGCCGTCATTATCCTTATGAAATGGGTGAGGACCTGGAGGCACAGAGACGGGCAGTAACCTGCCCAAGGTCACACAGCTGGTGCTGGAGTCGTGGAGCCAAAACTCTGTCGGTCACGACATTAGGCCATAGTCATTCCTAACCCAGAAGAGCTGTGATGGTAAATTATGGTGAGGTTCACCATGGGACAGTGACCAGTAATTAAAATTTATATTTATAAACAGTATTTTAATGCAATGTGCAAAAACTTGTTAAAATATTTTAAGACCACAAAATTATACATATATGATCTCAACTCAAAAATGCCTTTTTAAAAAAGAATCGAAATAAATATATATATTTTAAATATATAAATATATATCTCAGGCATGCAGTAGATGATTAGTAAATACTTGCTGACATTGGTGAGTAAGTGGGTTTTTTTTCTCCTTGTTCCCAATTTTTCCATGTTTTCTAAATTTCTGTCATGAAAATTGATTTCAGGAAAAAGTATTAAGACCTTACTGTTTTAAAATGATTTTCTCTCGATAAATGTAGAAAAGAGAAATTTCTGAGAAACGAAAAATCTAGAAGCAAGTTCTTTGAAAAGACAGAAGGGAGGCTGCTAATTCTTGAAATTGGTAGCATTCTTACAGCTGGGTCTCAGCACACACCGAGAATGGGCAGGGACAAGAAAATGGGATGTAGGGTCCTGCGCATGGCAGAGCCCGGGAGTAAATGCAGAGGGTTTGCTGTCTGAGTGCTGGCACACGAGACAGGCCGTCTTCACCTTCGGGGAACCTTTAGAGAAGATACAGCACATTTTATTATTATTAAGTGAATACACTTCCTTGAAAATAAGTTCACTCTGGAAAAGCAATGTTCTTCGGGCACACGAGGCCCAGTGTGGGCTGGGGCAGCCCTGGCTGCTGAGCTCCCCTGGCTTCCAGTCCAGGTCCTGCCACAGGCCACTTGTACCTCCTGAGCCTGCTCCTCCACCCAGAAATCAGCCAGCGTTGTATACTCTCTAGCTCGTCATCCAGCTGTCATGTTCAGTTCTATGGTATGTAAATGGCTAGAACAAGAGAGGCCTTCTGGAGACTGAAGGGCCCTGGGTATGGGTATCGGCCAGGAGTGAGCCTGGCTAGCGGCCTTCAGGTGGCAGGGACATCAGGAGAGCTCCTGCTCAGGGGAGGGAGCGAGCTCGTGCAGAGGCAGCTGGCTGGGGCCGAGCAAGCTGACGGGAGGGGAGGAGGAAGCCAGCCGCCTGCTCCCTCCCCAGGCCTCAATCACGCAGGCTGCCGCTGTGCTAGGGCTACATCGGAAGCGGCCAGCCTGTGACCCTCCCTACTCAGCAGCAGCAGCCACACGCTTCTCTGCCAACCCAGGCCCCTGCACAGCACAGGGCACATTCCACTTTCCGCCTTGGAGCTGCTCCAGAAGTTGTGTATTAAACATGGGACAGAAGCCAAATTGTTAGATTTCTGGGCCACACCTTCTACCTACTGAATCAGAATCCGAGGAGTAGGACCCGGAAATGGCCTTTTAAGCGAGTTCACAGGAGATCCTGATAACCCCCGGGTTTAAGAACCACTGGCCTGGGCCTGCTTGGAAGTGCCTAGTGCCACATTGCCACCCTGCTTGTAAGGCTGCCGTAGGCGGCTGGAAGTGGAGAGGGGGTAGGAGGAGTAGAAACCCCATCAGAGGGGAGTGCGGGATGAGGGCCTGGCGGGCTCTCCTCTCCCCCACAGCGTCCTTCGTCAGTTTCCGCATACACGAGCCGCATCAGCCAAGCCCAGTCGCTCCCCTCAGAATTTGCTTTCCCTCCACCAAAATGTTCCTGGCCGCCATCTCAGCCACCCCCACACAGCTCTCCCTCTCCCGACAGAGACCCCACCTGCCTCATTACTTAAATAATCTTTATTTCTCATGCACTAGGAAAGACGGGATTGTATGAAACACTGCATTTCACAGCCAAGGCCTCAGTCTGGAAAACAACACAGGGAACCAGCCAGGATCCAGGTCTGGTCAAAACTCTGGGGACCATACTGGGGATACCACGCCCAGGGATGGTGGCAGATCCAGGACCCTCCAGCTGCAATGGCCCCAGACATGGCACAGGGCGGCTGCCCCCTCCCACAGAGGCACAGGAAGCTGACACCAGAGGAACACGTGGACCAGAGGAAGGACGAAGAGGTCTGCCAGGTAGTGACTTGGCAGAGGCGGTGGTCCAGCACCTCCGAGGCCTGAGTCCAGGATGCTGGGGCTACGACCGAGCTCTCAGCCCAGCTCTACCCATCGCAGAGATGCTGGAGCCCCGTGAACCACCCTGCATCCCTGTGCCCACAGTGGACGTGTACAGGCCCCACCTGACTGTCCCCGAGCCATGTAAACAAGACGGGGCCTAAACTCAAGCCCTGGTCCAAACTCAGATTTGCCAGGCAGGACTCCAAAGGCTAGAGGGGCCAGCCCTCCACCACCGTCCCCGGCCCCCAAGGACCACCAGGCTTCAGAGGATCCTAGGACAGGGCCACCAGCAGGGCAGCCCTCAAATGTGGGCCATCGGGTACCACACTAGGGGGAGCAAATCCTGGGCACTGCTGTCACTGGGGTGGCACAGAGACAGATACAAGTCAGAGACATGCAGGACAAAGAAGAATGAACACATGCAGAGACCACAACGGGCTGGGAGGGGGCCAAGGACAAAACATGGTCACGGGGCTGAGAGGTGGGGGGCAGTGCGGCGGCCAGGCTCACTGAGGCCCCGGGCTCATGGTGACACCTGGCTCCTCCGGGATGGTCTCCAGCATCTCACTCTGGACTGCCTGCGTGATGAGTGCCAGCTCCTGGCACAGGGTCTCGTAGCGGTAGCCCACGCGGATGTCTGGCACATTGGTGCGGCGGATGTCATTGCCCTCAGGGCCCTCCTTGGTGTAGTTGGGTCCCAGCCAGTGGCTCTTTACCTGCAGGGTGAGGAGGTGATAGGCAGGGCTGTCGCTGGCTCTGAAGGGCCATGTCCCAGGACCCCCAGGACTTCCCCCAATGCAGAAGAGAGGAGGGAGAGACAATGCTAAGGCCAGGCCGGCGGGCACGGTACCTTGTGAGAGAAGCCGCTCATGAGCACACTGTTGCGTGCCAGCTCACACATGTCGCAGGAACTGAGCTTCCACACCTGGGTGGCGATGCTGTACTCCTCCATCAGCGGCTCCTGCACAGGCCAGGTTCCCTCAGACAGGTGCTCCAAGCCCTGCCACCTGGTCCCTCCCCAAGAGACTTGCCACACAGCATGCAGCACTCCACCAGCAGGGGGCAGCGCCAGCCCTGAGACCGGGTGCCTGGGCGTCCTCGTCCCAGGACACCTGCCGTCTGCCGCCTGACGGGTTCTGACCTTGGTGAAGTGGAACTGCAGGGGGTCATCAGTGGACAGCGAGACCATGAGGCCACGAGACAGGTACTCGGGGAGCGGGTTCCGGTGGTAGCTGAGGAAGAGGCTGTTGTTGCTGAGCGGCGACATGGCGATGCCGATCTGGGCCAGGTAATACAGGTACTGCAGGACAGGGGCCTAGGCAGGCGACAGGGAGGGGGCAGGTCGGGCGGCGTCCGGGCTGGGAAACACACCAGGTTCTGGGGGTACAGGACACAGTCGTGGTCGGGGAGTCCCGGCTGGGCCCGATCTGTGGAGGGTCAGTTACAGCCAGCATCCACGTTGGGGCCCCAGTGTGGACGCTGGGGCGTGGAGCAGTACGGACTTGGGGCTGTGTGAAGAGGAGGATCAGCTGCTGAAGGGGCCCGAAGGGGTCGGGAGGAAAGTAAACGATTGGGAAAGAGACTGGGGGTGCAGCCCTGACCTTGCGCAAAAGCAGCCCATGTGAGATGTTCTCAGCCAGCATGAAGGCCGACACCAGGTGGTGGATGGGCCCAGCCTCCCCGCAGTGCGGCCGCAGCACAAATGTGTGGAAGCCCCTTTGCCTGCGGGACATGAAGACAGCGTCAGCTCCCAAGCCCAGGTCACCAGGCTCCCAAGCCCCTACCCTGAGACGGTGTGCGCCTGGGACAGGGGGCAGGGCTAGATTCTTGGCTGCGAGGCAAGGTGTGAGCCATGGTGTGAGCCATGGAGACCCGAGGGCAGAGAAAACCCATCAGGTCCAACCTGGGGCAAGAGCGGGGTCAAGTCTCCATAGGCCCAGAGCAGGGCCAGGGCCAGGGCCAGGGCCAGGCCTGTTGCGTGAGAGGGTAAGAAACAGCAGGGCGAGCAGAGGTGCAGAGCCCACACCTGCGCAGGTGATTCAGCATAGCCATGTTGGCATAGGTGTAGTACAGGTAGTAGGCGTAGGGCGGGTTGTCCTCCTCCACCCAAGCCTCGGGGAGGGGGCTCTCCAGGTTGAAGACGTGGTTCTCAGGCTTGGACTCATCATCCACGCTGTCAAAGCCATCCACCTGGAATAGGACCCTGGGGTTATGTCCTGAGCTACCGCCAGGCCTGAGGCAGGCTCTCCTCCCCTTCCCCAGGCCCAGCCCTGTGCCGCCCCCTCACGTGCTCCAAGAAGAGGTGCAGCTCCGGGTGGCTGGCGGGGTGCACGGTGGCCTCGAACAGTGGCAGGAAGATGTTCTCCAGCATCTCCTGAAAGTTGGCCAGCTGGCCCTTGGTACGGTACACATCACTGCGGGAGAGACGTAGGCACATGGATGCACACAGGTCAGGGCCGGTGTGAGGGCACCGGCAGGCTAGGAAGGGTCGGACCCTGGCCCAAGATCACAGAAGCACTTTCAAACCATACTGGGTGGGCCGAGCTGGACGAACCATGGGCGGAACCAGGGAGGGCCCTCCTTTTACTCAAGAGGACTCGCTGGGATGGGGGCGGTCAGCCTCCCAGGAGGGCAGGAGGCTGGCCTTGGCCCCTAGAACTCTGCCCGCTATGTCCCTCCCGCTCCCGGAGACACTCACAAGAGGCGGGGCACCTGCACGAGCCAGCGCACGTTGGGGGAGTGTACGCGGTGCATCACGGCCCAGCGTGCCAGCTTGTCCCACTCGTCCCTCGAGCGCCCGTAGATGGAGAGCCGCAGCTCCGCGTTCTGGTATTTGCTCTCCTCCAGATCCGACATCACCTCCTAGGCACACGCAGGCGGCCACCGTCAAGCTCGAGCTTCCCACCCACCATCACGTGTGCTCAGTCAGACCTCCTCATGCCTCTGACCCGCCCTCCTCACCCACCTCTGGAAGCCCCCGATACCCTGGCTCTCGCTCAGATCGGGGAAGGGCTGCCCAAGGCCCACGCTGCCCTGTACCTGGGCCCTGGCAGCCACACCTCCTCACCTTGATGATGTGAGCGAAGTATTTCCCAGAAACCCTGTTGTCCGTCTTGATGAAGATCTCTCGGAGGACAGACTCCCCAATAGGGTTGTATTTGGCGTTGAATTTATCGAAGCGATGGAAGGTGTTCCTGTCCTGGGGTAGACAGGTAGGCCCAGGTCACCCCGACCCTCAGTCTGCACCCTGACCCAGCCCCTCGGCCCCCACTGCTGGGACGAACCGCGTGCACGTCGAGCGTGTCCACACTCAGGTCGTAGGCGGTGAGATTCATGCTCTCGAAGACCTCCCGCAGCGTCTGCTCACGGCCCTGCTCCACGTGCACGATCTCCTCCAGGTGCCGCTTCATCGCCCGCTTGATGAAGCGCAGCAGGTGCTTCTGGTTCATGCAGGAAGAGGCATGGATGTGTGTGTCCACCTGGGGTGAAACGGGGGCTGCTGAGTCCACCAGGCTGGGAGGGTCGAGCTCCTGGGCGGTGGGCTGGGAGAGGCCTCTCTAAGCTGGGTGCTGGTGGGGGCCCAGGCCCCCTGGGGCAGACTGGCCAGAGGTGCAGGGCCGGCCTCGGGTGAGGACCCACCTTGCGGATGTTGTAGAAATCTCGGTGTGGCACCTTCTTCTGGGCGGCCAGCTCTTTCATCTCGTTGAGCAGCACGTGCATCTGGAACTTGGAGCTCAGGTACTGCAGCCGGCGGTAGCAGAACGACTTTCTGGCAGGAGGAGAAAAAGGCAGGGGCTCAGGGCCTGCAGGGGGAAACTGGGGAGCCCGGGGAGCAGAGGAGGCGGCAGGAAGGTACAGGACTGAGGCTGTCAACAGGGCGGCAGACCGCGGGAAAGTCTAGGAATCAGTGACTTTGAAGTGGGGAGACACTGGTGACAGGTGTCTGGGGCTGGTCCGGGGCTGGCGAGTCCGAGCTGGGAGGGGAGCTGAGTGTCTGTGACTGGTGGGGACTCACATGGGGCCGTTGATAATCAGGGCCATCAGCACATTGACATCAGCCACAAACTCCTGCAGATCAGGGTACGGCAGCTCCACCTCTGAGCAACTGGCAGGTGGGGGAAGCTTAGATGACAAGAGCAAGTGGGCCCTGTGGGCCCCCAGACTTCCCCCCAGCACACCCCATCCCTTCTTACTGCTCATCAGGGTCCCTGCGGGTATAGACGTGAACCACGCCCCGCACCATGCGCAGACCCAAGCCCAGGTCCCCAGGCATGGTGCTAGGCTCACAGTGCTCGTACGGGTGCTGCTCCAGCGCCGGAGGGTGCACCGGGGCGTCTGCAGGGTGGGGAGGGTGGGGTCAGGGCCAATGCTCTTCTGGGCCACCACCCACTACCCAGCCCAGAGGCCCAGCAGAAGGGCAGAGAAGCCAAGGCCTCAGCAGGACAGACCCTGTCCCCGTCTCTACCCCACACCGGGAGGCTGGAACGAGGCTGGGTGTGGGAAGACGCAGGCAGGGCAAGGGTCCTGGGCCCCGAGCGCGGGGAGCCTGGGACCCCAGGGCCAGGACGGGGACCCACCTGCGGACACAGGGGTGTCGGGGCCCTGCTCATAGGTGCGTGTCTCCAGAGGCTTCTCGGCCAGCTGCTGCAGATAGCGGCGGGTCGTGGTGCAGAAGCCTTGCAGTGACAGGGCCATGTACTTCTCCCGGATGAAGAGGGCCCGCACCACACTCTTGGCGGCATCCAGCAGGTCTGTGAACGGCACCTGGAGACAAGGACACGTGATCACTCTCCTCAGTCTGACCCAGGCAGAGCTTCCTGTCACCTCTTCCCTGAGGCCTCGACCCCAGAAACACTCACACCTCTCAGTTCCCAGCACACCAACTAGCTCCCACAGATCCTCCGTCCCTCCAGCTCTGGAAAGAGAAACACCCTCTCTAGTCCCACCCCCAGCTCCCCATGTTGGGGAAGCCCACCGGGGCCCACGGCCCTGCCCACACTCACCCCACACTTCTCCTCCCCAGAGATGGTGACCCGCTGAAATTCCCGCTCCAGCACCATGTCACGCTCCCTCAGGCCCCGGTCACCCTGCCCCTCACCCTGCTCCTTGTAGAGCCTATGGAGAGGTGGGTACAAGGAAGGGGGTTGGGGCCAGCAGTGGGACAGGCCCCAGCCTCACCTCCCCCACGTCCCCGCACCCCTCTGCCCGCCTCACTGGAGGTCCGAGTCACTGTCCGTCTTCAGGAAATCTTGCTTGGCCCGAAGCAGGATGTCCGGCTCCAGCCTAGAGGTGAAGGGACCAGAGGTCAGACAGATAAGGAGGGACAGCCCTTGCTCCCAGGTCCCTGCCCCATGCTCGGTGCTGTGCATGTGTTGTCACACGTGGTCCGCACGGGACCGTGGAACTCCGCACTGCGGGTGCTGTTCTTGCCCCACGGTGGAGAGGAGAAACCACACCCAGAAGTGAAGCAGCATGTTCCAGGCCACACCGGCGGGCGGAAGACGGCACCAAAACCCAGCAGCCTGCTCCACAGCCTGCGCTTCCAACCACTGCTCTGTGCTGTCTCTCCGGTGGGCCCCAAAGGAGGGATGGGATGGGAAAAGGACAGAGATGGGGCTCTAAGTGTCCAGTGGAGACAGAGGGATGCTGGGCAGGCTACCCTATGCCCCTCCCCCACCACAACCCCCTAGTCTGTGTCCCACCCCACCCCGCAGCTGCCTGGCTGTGTCCCCCACCCCGATACTGCCTAGCTGTGCCCCCCATACCACACGCAGCTGCCTGGCTGTACCCCCACTCCCACCCTGTGGCTGCTAGGTGTGCCTTCCCGCCCCAGGCTATATGGCTATATACCTCCTGCCCCGAGGCCGCCTGGCTGTCCCCAGCAACCTGCAGCTGCCTGTCTGTGCTCCCCATCCCAGGTTGTCTGGCTGTGCTCCCCTACCCAGAGGCTACCTAGCTAGACTCCCACACCCAAGGATGCCTGGCTGTGCCCCCCACCCCACAGCTGGCTGCCTGCCTGCCAGACTCTGGGGCCAGGGGCTCACTTGACATCCTGGCTGATCTGCCGCTCCAGGCGCTGCCTCCTCTCCTCCAGCTGCTCAATGGGGCTCTCTTCGGGGAACTCGTACGGGGCACTGCGGAGCTCGCTCTCAGCCAGGGAGCGGCTGAACAACTCCTGGTGGAGGGAAGGAAGGGTCAGCTGGCCTGGCCCTCAGCCCCCAGGCCCTCCCTTGCAGAGTCTGAGGAGGACGTGATGGCAGCAGGAGCTGGGGGGACCTGGGAGAGGCTAGGGATCAGGGCACAGCCAAGCGTGACGTCAGGGGACGGGGAGCAGAGACGGAGCACGGGGACAGTGCGGAGGGACACAGGGTGAGGTGCCAGGCGATACCTCGGCGATCTCCTTGCATTTGCCATCCATAGACGTGCGCAGGTCGAGCGGGAAGTGCTTGAGGCAGGGGGCGGGGCCTGGCAGGGACCGGGCAGACTGCAGCGGAGGGGCCCCCAGCCCACCCCGCGCCTCTGTGGAGACAGTGATGCCAGGGTCAAGGGGTGGAGTGCAGGACCTGGGTGCACTGGAAGTCCTGGGCCCCTGCGCACCCCAGGCCAGCCCCAAAGAGAGGCCAGGACTTGGAAGGGAGGCAGTCCCTTCTCAGAGACCGAGGAGTGAGCCCGTGTGTGGCTCCCAAAGGACCTCGCCCTCGCCTGGCACTGGGACCCCTCAGACATCCCAGGCTCGGGGGTGGGGGTCCTGAGTCTGCCCCTACAACAAGTGGCTTCATCCACTCCAGGCATCAGCATCGGAATACTGCACTAGGAGCCGCTCCCTCAGGCCATCAGAACCTCCATGTGAGAACCTCCTACAGGCAGGCACACGTGTGTGTACACACGCACACACGCATGCACACACGCACGTGTGCTCCAAGCACTCAGTAAGGACCTGGTGGCCACACCAGCGATCCCCAGCCCACAGCTTCCAGGGCAGTCAGTCCAGGATCGGACCTGCCTCTGGGCTGGCAGATCCTCTCAGGCCAGGGCCCTAGCCCGATGCCTTAGACCTACAGAGCAGGGGGAGCCACAGCTGCCACTCAGCTCTGATCTGGGGACCAGCCCTCGAGGGAAGAGGAGAGGACGTGGAGGACCTGGTTGGCAGCAGGAACCCTACCACCTCCCCGGAGGCCTGCCCTCTCGCCCAGGACCCCAGGGCTGCCAAGATGTGGCCTGGCCCCAGCCTGCCCCTCCCACTGCTGGCTGCCCCTCCAAAGGGAGCTGCCATGAACAGTGTGCGCCACTCAGAGGCCCCAGGATCTGGGCCGGAGGCCCCGGGGAGGGCCTGGGGACGGGAGTCGGAGAGCAGGGGCTCCCCCCATGGAGGGCAGAACTCCTGGGCTGCAACACTATGAGGCTGGACGAGAGGCCCTGAAGCTACAAGTCTGCAGGGGCTGCCTGAGCTCCCAGACCACCCTGAAGGACCCTCTGTGGGCCCACCAGCCCCACCCTCCCCAGCAGGAAGCTCCCCACACCCAAACGGGCTCTCCCATCCAGCTCTAGGGGGCTCCTCCGGTCCAGCTCCCTCCTTTCCCCTCTCCACTGTGACTGAGGGACATAGTGGAGGCTCCGCCCAGGTAGAGCACCTTAAAAGTCTCTAGGCCCACTTTCCGAGGCCCCAGAGTCTAGTCCTAAGGCTGGACAAAGGGAAGAGTAGGTGCCTGCCCCAGATCCAGGACCTACCACCCACCTGTCCTCGTGCCTGCCTGCGTCGTACCTGCAAAGTTCAGGCAGCGCCAGCCAACAGCCCTGTGCCCCTTGCCCGCCTGTTTGCTGAGTGGAGCTGCAGCCAGTCCCCCAGGACAGCTCAGGGGCCGGCACGGGCTGTACCAAGTGCAGCTGCATGCAGGGGAGACCCTGAGATGACGGCAAGCAGGGGGCTGAAGGAGCTCAGGGGAGCCCAGAAATCAAGGGAAGGAGCATCAGAGTTCGAGATAAAAGGAACCCCAGCCTGACCAGGGCCTTAATCTCCACAGTGCCAGGGCCCAGCCCAAAGGAGGGTCCCCAAGGGGAAGGAGCAGGCTAGGCTGGCAGGGAGGGGCCAAGCCTCCTTAAAATGTACTGCCCTGGGGTACAGTGAGTAGGTAGGACCTGGCGGGCCAAAGGATGGGGGTGGGGCAAAGAAAGGGGTCAAGCAGCCCTCATTTCCATACCCAGCAGCCCCACGGCACCCTCCTCTGTCCAGTGGCCTTGTTTTGCTTCCCACTGTCCTCTGGGGCCCTGCCTATGGGGTCCCTCGGGAGACAGGGCCTCCGCCTGGGAGAGGAGCTGGCTAGAAGCTGGGGAAGTGCCTCAGTACAGGTAGGGACTAGTTACTGAGACTCTCTGAAGCCCAAGGGCAAGTTCATGGCGTCCTAGACTCCAAGCCCTGTTTCAAGCCTATCATCAGGGACGAACTGCCCAGGAGGAGAGGTTTAGGAGAAGGGCGACTAGAATTTGGAGGACTTGAGTCTGACTCTGTTCCCACTTACTAGCAAGTCTCTACCTCTCAAAGGCTTCAAGTCCTGTCTATAATGGAGTGATAAGCAGGTCCTATCCTGTTTAGCCACAGCTGCCATAAGGCTCACAGAGATACAGCTCTCTGAGTATTCTGTAATACACCATAATCTACGATTATGAATTCCTGGGACCCTCCAAACATGTCTCACATGCAGTCCTACCCATGGGGAGGGTGGGAGGTTCTTGGGCCCAGCACAGACCAAGACAACTGAGCAGTAAAGGGCAGTGAAGAGAACAGTTTGGCAGGGGTGGAGATGGGGGGGTCAGGGGGGCGACACTATCTCTTACCTGGAAGAGAGTAGAGCAGGAAGAGGGAGAGAGAGCACCTGCTCTGCCCCCCAGGGTCTGAGACGGAGCCTAAGGTCCTTGCTTGCCCAAGAATTTTGACCTTACACCTCCTCGCCACTTCTGACCCCCTCCAGAGGAGGCCGCCTATGGGGTGATCTGTAAGGGGTCCAGCAAGAGCTGATTCAAAGGCCCTAATCTCAACCGCCCCTCCTAGCAGGGTGCCCCACAGCCTCCCAGAAATGCTGGGGTGACCGGGACAAGTTCCAGCAGCCAAAGCCATCTTCCCAGCCTGCCAGGCCACTGCACAGGGCTGTTGGGGTTCACTGGGGGTGACAGGCAGTAATCGCCACACTCCCTGGGGCCAGGCCTAGAAGACCCAGCTGCCTGCTGGTCCCCTCTCAGGGCCTGTGCAGCACCACACACATACCCACATACACACACACACACACACACACACACACACACACACACACACAATCACACGGGGAAGTGGCAGGGGAGTCGACCAAAAGCCAGCCACTCCCACCAATGCCAAGATTCTGGCCATGCCATCCACTTTCTTAAGCAGGATTCCCCTCACTCACTGCCAGGACTGCCTCAGTAGGCAGAGAGGTGCCCAAGGCTTCGACCCACAAGTATGATGCTCCCACCATAGGACCAACCCAAAGATATATAGATCCAGCTCCAGGGAACACACCCTCTGGATGGCACAGACCCGGGCACGGAGAACACAGACCCTGAGGACAGTACAGACCAGGACAGCATCTTCAATGGCGTAAGAAAACACAGGAGGTAAATGTATAGGTAGAGACAGCTGCTGGGAGAGAGACTGGCTTGACCTGGTCACCAAAGTGGGGGTGGTCTTTCTTTAGCCACAAGGCCTGGGGACAGCAGATGACAGGTGGAAATCCCTCAGCAAGCACAGACCCAGGCAGTCCAGCCTTTAAGGAACTGGGCACAATTGCACCAGGATGCCAGCTCTAAATGGTGCAGAGATGCCTACCACAGTGGGAGCCAAACCAAAAGGTGCGGGAGCACGCAGGGGTAAGCAGCAGACCCAGCCTGAGCACCGCATAGCATGGCCCAAGGACATCTCATACTCCTGAGGAAGCTCACAAGACAGACTAGGAATGAGCACAGAGCAAACAATCAATATGGTTGACCCCCCAGCCCTGGGATGCCCGTCAGCAACGAGTGTGCCCTAACATCAGACCCCCAGTGAGGGGGTCAGATATCTAGGGTCCTAGAAAGAGGAATTAGCCACAGGAGAACAGCCTGAGCTTGCCTGGCAAAGGCACAGCCACCAGCAGTATGGCCAGTCCGCAAACCAGTCAGTCCCACACATCCCCCACTCCATTCACACACACACTCCACTTGCAAACAGTCCTAGCACATCCACACACTGACACGTGTGCAAACACAGCTTTTGCAGCACCCACACCCACGCCCACTCCCAGTTACAGAGGACAGCATGCCCGACATAGAAACCTGTCACCCTCCACCCCAACTCTCTCCCCACGCCACCTCTCAAACCAGCTGTCCCTGGGACCAAGGACGAGGGGCACAACAGCAGAGAGGGTGCAGAAGCTCCTCCCGCCCCCAGGGGACCAGTGACCAGAGCGAAAAATGGGGGAGCAGAGCCAGTGCCTGGGCCAGGATGCACACACTCACCTGGTACTGCAGAAGAGGGCTGCTGGCTGGCACGCTTCTTAAAGGGATATTTGGCCTTGGGTTTGCCCGGGCCGGATGCATAAGATGCCATGGCTCTGGCCGCGGAGATGGCGGGGGAGTCTGAGCCGCACCAGCTGGGCCTGTCTCTGCCACATCCAACCCCTTCCTCCGCCCCGCCCCCAGCGGGAGTGACTGATGCAGGAAGCAGAGGCCCCGCCGGCGGAAGAGGCCCTGGCCACGATTTCTGATGTTGTCTAGGCAACCTCCAGAGGGGGGCCTCCATCCCCGCCCCTTGTCCCTCCCCTCCTCTCCCTCCCTCATCCCTGGAGTGACGTGGGCCTGGGGGATGGAGGTGAGAACAAGATACGGAAGGGCCAACATCCAGCGCTCCGCTAACCCTCTCTGTAGACTTGGAGCCCTCGTCCCTTGTCAGGGCTCTGGGTCAAAGACTCAAAGTCCAGGCTAGCTGGTCCAGCCAGCCTGGGAGGGAAAAAAATAAATAAACAGGAATCCACAGCAAGCTCCCCCAGGCTCAAAACACATTCTGCTCATGGCAGACGCAGTCAGTGAACACCCAGCCCCTCTGGGACAGAATCCCCTTTTTTCTTCTCTATCTGCACCCCGGCCCCAGGGCTAGCCCAGCTCTGGTAGGATAGAGTAAAACGGAGAATCCCAGCCCGGACGGGAGGAGCCTGTCTTGGGAAAATTCCACTGTCCAGAAGAAGCTACTTAATTGGATGGCAGGGAGGCCAGGAGGCTGGGGCTTCTCTGGGGTCTGAGAAAGAGACTCCAGCGTCTTCTGACTCTTCCTTCTGTCTTTCCACACTCAGGCTCTGCTTTCCCAGGCCCTCCCCAAGAGAAGCTGGCCTCATTCCCTAGGTCTGCTGGTTGTGCCGAGACACTCTCCCCCCGCCAACACCACCCTCTTGTCACCCAGAGAACCTGCACTCCTCTGTCCCAGAGACCCTCCCCGCAACACAGGCACACACACACTCACCTGAGGCCATGCTGCCCGAGCCCTGAAGGGGACCGGTGAGGCTGCCCGCCAGGATGTGCACAGCAGGGAAGCTCTGGTCGCGAGGGAGGGGACGAGGGCTGGGGCCCAGACCCCGGCCAAATCGCTCCAAGAGCCCCTGCCCTGGCACCGAGATGGGAGAAGTAAGGAAGGCTTTCAAAACTGCCAGCTGGTGGGAGGTGGACCCCCGCAGACCTTGGCGGCAGCACCGGCCGGGAAGACCCCCAGCCCCGCACTCGAGGCGGGCAGGCCACGTGCTCCCGAGACAGCGGGACCCGGAACTCGCCTGCGCTTCTTTCCACACTCTCTGGGTGTTCGGGGTCGGCTTCCCGTAGTTGGGCTGTTGGGTAGTCACGCAACAGGTGCGACCCCTCCGAAACCTGGCCAGCGCCGCCCTGGGATTCCGCGGGTTCAGGCCCCGCCCCCACGAGGCCCCGCCCCTACCCGGCCGGCCCCGCCCCCGCCATTTTTTCCTTTTCCCGGCGCCACGTGGGCAGCAGCCACACCTCTGTTGGCCCTGCGGGGTCTAGTGCAAGTTCTCTGCGTCAGCTTCCTCATCAGTAAATGGGATGGGGTAATCGCGCTACCTCACTCAAAGGCGTTGTTATGAGGATTAAATGTTCAGCACCTTTGTGCGGTGCCTGGCATAAAGTCAGCGCCCAGTCACTTTTAGCAGTTCTAGCCCAGCATTCTCACTCTGGGTGTCTGTTTTCTCCTGGCAGGCAGAGGTAGGCAGGGTGTGCCCTGTGTTCTGGCTCCCCTTCCCACATTTATTTCTATATTTGTTGGTTAAGCGCTTAGGCTCCTTAGGCTCCGTAGCCAGAATGCCTGGGTTCAATTCCAGACTCCGCCTACTTCCTGACTGACTTTGGGAAAGTTACTTAACTTAGCTGAACTTCTATTTCGTCTATAAAATGAGTGTAAGAAACCCTAATTTATGTGATGGTTGTTAGGATAAATGAGCTAATACAAGTGCTTAGAACAGTGCCCAGTCTGTTACTACGCGGTTAATATTTATGTAGTAGTGCTATGGCCTTGGCCTTGGTTCCCTATTAACATTACAGGTTGATTCACCTTGCAGCCTACAAAGTGGAGTTGGGTTGTTTTGGGGACTGCAGACACCCCACCCAACCAGCACCCCCATTCCCAAGTGGCCAAAAATCAGACCACTAAGTGTATTAGCAGCAATTAGCCTTTCCTATTTTTCCACCTTGTGGCAGCCCTTTGCCCCCCACACCCAGTTGGACTAATGCGGTTTGTCCGGCCTCTCCCAGTTCTCACCACCCCCACAGACAAATTCCTTCCCAAACTCTGCCTCCCTCACTACTTCCCAGGCTGGACCCTGAACCCTATTCTCTACCTGCGTTTTGGTGTCACCTCCCTCGATCCCTGCCTACTGTCCTCGCACTGGGCAAGCTCAAAAAAACATGGCTTCCATAAACAGAGGGCAGCGGGGCGGAGCCTTTTTGGTGAGTTCACCTTACAAAGAACCAATAAAATAAAAAGAAAATAAGGAGATACCATGTTTACCCATCAAATTAGCAAACATCAAGGGGAAAAAAAGTAACGCAGGCAAACGTGTAGTCAGTGAGCTGGGACACACACACATACTACTCGTGGGTATAAACACTGACGTAATCTTTCTGAAAGCCATTTAGTAATATATAATTAGGAATCTTTTGAAAGTTCATATTATTTGACCCAGTAATTCTATTTCCAGGAAATTGTTCTTCTAAAAAGAGCTGCCAGAAAAACATGCATGAAGTTGTTCGTCACTGCTATGTTTATCACATGGAAAGGTTGACAATTTAAAGATCCAATAATAGTGGAATGTTTAAATTATGTCATATACATACACTGAAATACAGCCCTCAAAAATTGTTCTTGGAGAATTTCTTACTGAGGTGGAAATGTTTACAATGCAAAGTTAGGTGAAAACACAGATGCAAAAATACGTACATACAGTATGGCCCTAATTATGTGACATATATGCATAGAAAATAAACACACCACAAATGTTACAAATGATTATCTGTGAGAGGCAGAATTATAGGTTATATTTATTTTCTTCTTCATACTTATCTGTATTTAAAACACTGTCTACAAAATATGCATTCATTACCGTTATAATCAAAGGCATGGAAAATGACAAAAGTCTGTAAAAATCTGTAATAGCCTCCACATCCCAGCCCCAATAGACTCTCCTGCGTCTTAGGCCCAGGCTAAATTGGTCTTGGGGCACTTAGGAATTTTGAGGCTGTTGGGATCCCAACAATGAATAATAAATCTCAAAATTAAAAATCAAGCACCTGGTAACAATGTAAAATGTCAACTATATTCTGATAAAATACAAATTTTGACCTAGTTTTAAGCAGTGGTATCTTGCATCGGGTCAGGTCTCTTCAGGATTACCCCTTAATCCAGACTTACCTATTTACCTACCTAACCAGCCTACAGGAGGCAACCCCTGCTCTCCACCCTACCCAGGCAAACCGGTTCACTAGTCCCATGTGCAACACCCTGTAACCCTCCCCCACTTCCAGGCCATTTGGTATACTGTCCCTGCCAGGACGTCTGCCCTGATTACACCTAAGCATCAATCTCCCCACCTACGTAACACCAGCGAGAATCTCAGGGAGGTTCCATTGCCTACAGAGAGAAAAGAGTTTGGGAAATGAAGGCGTGAGTCATTCCCTATGGCTTCTCACATTGGGGCCTTAATAATGTTTATGAGCCTCTAGGATCTAAACATAGCTTCTTTCTCCCCTAGCCTATTTGCCAAACGGTTGCTTAAATGGCCCTCTAGAATCCCAGGCCTCCACTGACAATGCACTCCTTCTGGGGAGAACTGCTTCTCTAAGCTCTGGCCTGCAGCTCACTTGTGATGTCAGCTTTCTACTGGGGCCAGACCACTGTCCGCAGATATTAGATTTGGGAGAGAACTCCTGCAGCCTCAAAACAGATCTTTGGCCAGGACTATTTCCCAAACCATACCCTATGCCTAGATCCTTTTAGAACCAAACCGTTCAGCTCTCTTTTATTAGCTTGTCCCAGCGGCCAGCCCCCACTCACCCAGCATTGTTTACAGTGCCACACAGCTGCACCCATCTGTACTTGTTTATGTCTTCTATGCGTTTTATTCCAACCCTTTGTCGTTCAAGGCCCTTCACTGGCTAGCCCTAATTTCCCTTCCTGTCCTCATCTGCCAGCCCTCCCCTCTTGCCCCTTCCACTCTGTCACTCCAGCCCAGTCACATCTAACATCCCAGTCTTCTCTGAGCACACTTGGTACCCTGTGCCTCCATGTCTTTTCTCATGCTCTTTCCTCTCCCCAAAATGCCTGTCCTCTACTTCTATTGTGTTCTGCTTCTCTGCTGAAAGTCTGTTCATTTTACAATTGCTCCCTCCTTTCCTCTACTATAGAATTTATCAGTCTGACAGATGTGTGAATCATCGTCTTTCCTCCTGGGGTGGAGGCTAGGTTTTAAACAGCTCTGAATTCTCCTGCACCGGCACAGTGCTCCTTTAATTAAAGTGTTCCTCTGTGAATTTACCCCACCTCTTCCTTTGGACTGGAAAGTTCTGAAGGCAATTACTCATTCTTCATGTCCCTTCCCCACTCCAAATGGGACATGGCTTTACCTACAAGTTCCTACTACTGAGTGTAAGACAGATCCTGAGATCTCCCCTTAACTCAGAAAAAAAGACCAAATTCGTTGGGAAATGGTGATTCTTTTTTCACTCAAAAGGATTTGATTATAAGGGCTGTGGACTAGGACACCTGAGCTCTAGGTGATTCTGATGCTAACTTGTTTATTAAGAATTGCCTTTCTGTACTTTGGTTCATTCACCTCTAGAATGGGAATGGCACCTACATGCTTACCCTATTCCACCAGGCCGCTGAACTCAAGAAGTAGAAATGCCATCAGAAAGGCACAGGAGCTAAGGACAGGAGGCAGGGCATCACTGGTGTCAGGATGGTGCATGAAGAATTAGAGGTGGGTCTTTGCAGTCAGAGGCCAGGTGAGGGCCAGGAGTTCTCTTACTCAGCTTAGTTGTGGGAACGGGGAGCCAGAAAGCTAGGAAACGAGCAGAAGCAGCTTAGAAGTTTGCAGAGGTGGTAGCTGAAAAAGGAACAAGCTCAAACATTTTCCCTGTGCGTGAAAGACGTCAGTCCTTCCCTTAACAAAGTGAATGCTTCTGTTATTAAGCTCATGCAATCGCTTTTAAGCCCGTGCATTTGCCTGTCTTTTTTGCCTAAGTGTTCTTTCACTGGCTGCTTATGTGGGGGTGGTAGAAAGACAGATCATCAGATTGGTCTGTTTACTAAGCTATATGACCTTGAACAAGTTACTTAACCCTCAAGCCTCAGTCATCCATTCTGTAAATTGGGGACAAGAGCACTTACCTTGAAGTTAGTGTGAGAATTAACGGATATGAGCCACGTACATCGACTAGCACAGTTTCTGGCAGCCCCATGCTGTGAACAGTGCAGGCTTCAGCACAGCTCTGGCCTAGGTTTAAGTTACCAAAGTCGTGGGTAGGCTAGGGCAGGCATCATTACTGAAACCTTATAGTCAAGATTCCAAGACAGTCACAATTTCAAAGACACTCTACTGGTTTCCCATAAGTCAATAAGCACTTGCCAATTTTTCATTGGGAAAACATGATCGCCATGGAAGGCACCTTGGCAGCTGCCTATTTCTCCATCAGCCCTGAGAGTCTGGGTTCCAGGCCCAGCGCTTCTCAGTCGGATCCCCAGATATGCAGCTGAAAGGTGGTGGGAGAAGGAAGATGGTCAGTGGTGGCTCAGGGTCCCCGGAAGGGGGAGAACTAGGTTCTACCTCCCCCTTTCTCAGCCCACTAGCCACTGCCGCACAATCCCAACTCTAAAAAAAAAAGGAGAAAGTTAAGTCCTTTGAGCTCAGTGGCTCTCTGCCTGGCTGCCCATTAGAATCACTTGAGGAAATTTAAACATCTTCGTGCCTGGACTGTACTCTAGACCAACTAAATCAGGATCTTTTTTTTTTAAATGATGACAATCGGATTCGTTTAAAATGTAGTTTCTCAGGCTCTGGAATTAGCACTATTCCTGGAACTTATTTACTCTAAGACACATTCTTTTAAAAAAATGTATAATAGTTGAACATCTTTGAAATCAAAGTGGTCTTCCAATCAGTGACATCTAAGTTTCGATGAAATATACACACAAACATCCCAGTTGATTCTTATGATTAGGGACGTTTGAGAGAGAAGCAATTCCCTAGTCCTCCCCAGGCCGTGCCTCCAGCCTTTAACGTACTTGAAGTCACCTGTGATCCTGTTTAAAAAAAAAAAATGCAGGTTCTGAATGAGAAGATCTGGGTTAAGGCCTGAGATTTTGCATTTCTAACAAGCTCCCAAGTGACCTGTGCTGGGCCTTATACCTCATTTGGGTGGCGAAGTTCTAAAGTATCTCTGAGGAGGCTCCCCCAGCGACTTGGTTAAGTGGACGGAAATAACTGGCACAGAGAAATGTGACCAGTGGAGCCCGGTCTTCAGAGTGTTTGCTGCGTGAGCGAGCGCGAACCCCCACACGAAAACCAGCAAAGTTCACTCGCCAAGTGAAGCTGGGCCTCAGGTGGCTTTAGTAGAGGAGGGGATGCAGCCCCATTCTCTGCACCGTATACCCTTTTTCCTTCATTCATTCACCAAACCTTTATTGAAGATCCATTCATAAAACCACAAAGTCTGAAGGATTCAGAGATGAGTCAAGTTTGGTCCCTGACCTCCAGGGGGAGGACGGTCAAGGGGAAACCCACTTGAAAAACAAAGTATAATTGAAGTGATAAGTGTTAATAACAGAAGTATGTTAAAGACACTTAAAGGCCAGAAGAAGCAGTCCAGAGAGGAGCCAAATAAAGCAACAATGCTAACGAGCTTCCCGGAGCAGCAGCCACTGGAGGAGCTGGAAGAAACATTTCTAATCTTTCCAAGGAAGGCACCACCCCAAACAAAAACTCTTTGCCAAGACCCACCTGCTATGATGGAGGCCTGTGTTTTGATGCCTTGAAGCCCTTGAAACCAAGACACTAGAATCTGGACTCTGAGTGGAGCTTCCTGTTTGTGCCTCTAATCTTTGGCTCTGAGATGCAAGTGAATCCGAGGAATAGACTCTTAGGGGGTCAGCCCCTCAAAAGGATGAGGTCGCCATGATCTTATTCCAGAGCTCCGGTACCCACATCCTATCTTCCTGTGTCAGAATCCAGCAGATCGTTTCCCTAGTCACGGAAATACTTGAATCTTTGCTCTTTGTCATACTGAGCTCTTAATTGGCTTTGGCCCATCACACTGTTAGATATAAAGGCTACAATCCCCAGACTAAGTAGGTCTCCAGCTGGGGTAGGAGTCTCGGCCAAGACAGACAAGGAACAAGAACCTGCAGTCTGCTCCTTCACCCAGCCCCTATAGTCAGCTTTTTAGGACTGAGAAACTGATACAAGATCCCAATTTACTTTTTCCTTATCTTCCATTCCACTGACAGGAAACCCTAGAAGAGACACTTAAAGGCCAGAAGCAGCAGCCCAGGAGGAGACAGCAGAAAGATGGGGAGTGGAGTCAGTGCTGAGGACAAAGAACTGGCCAAGAGATCCAAGGAGCTGGAAAAGAAGCTGCAGGAGGATGCTGACAAAGAAGCCAAGACTGTCAAGCTGCTACTGCTGGGTGAGCGAGATGGGAAGATGAGCCAGAGAAGGAGAAGGCCCTGCTCCTTCCTGCTTATCCTGGATGGAGGTGGGTTTTAGCCCGCCCCATGGGGAGGAGAGAGGGCAGGTCATTTTTCTCTCCCCATCCAGTCTCAGGCTAGGGGCTCAGGAGCTCTAGAGCGGAGCACGGCCACCCCCAGGGAGATGCAGAACGCTCATCCTTGAACCAGGAACAGTGCAAGGGTCAGGATGGACCCACCCATCTCCAAATCTAACCAAACCTAACACCTCATGGCTTGGCAAATACTGTGAACCCTGGGCTTGCAGACATTGACTCAATCTGCAGTCAGAGAGGTGAGTCAAGGACTCGAGAAAGCACAGCGGACTCAGAAGTCCTACCATATAGTCGGTGTCATGTTGTCCTAGGGACAAGGCCACTTGCCAAGTATACCGGTTCCTTCTCATTGCTTTCGGTAATAATCTTAGAAGTAGGGAGCCCTGGGAGGGTGGATGGAGTCTTTAGCTACCGCGGTGCTTTCCTGGCTCTCTATGCAGTAGCTGCCTCTACAGCCCCTGCCAGATGGGAGCTTTGTCCCCTAGATGAGCTCCTAAGCAGATCACAGGTCTGGGCTGAAAAAAGCAAAGCGCCTCAGTGGCCAGTAGGAGAAACTAATCATGGCTGTAAATAGAACCAAGAAAATAAAGAGTTTGGGACAGCCAGCTTAGAAAAAAATCCCCAGTGGTAGTACAGAGGGAGGTAGCTGGAGCAGGTGGGGTCTATACAGCAGAAGACTGGCTGGCTGCGCTGCGTTTCCAAGCCTATGAGCAGCCTGGGAACTGGAGCCCTGGGCTAAGGGCACCTCCCCTCCCCCAACTGATCTGTGGCATGGCTCTAAGGACACACTCAAAGAGCATTCTTCTGTCAGCTGGACCCAGACTTCAAGTTGCCCTGGAGGCTAAAGAAAGGGGAAGAGAGATGGCAAGGCCACTGGGAGATCTTTTAAGCCTAATCGGCTTCTTTCTACATTCAGGATAAGCAGCTTAGAGGGAACAAGCAAAGGCTAAGGCAGAGGGCATTAAGGCACCAGGGGTTGTCTGTGTACAGGCCGAGGGAGAGGGCTGAGGGTGTGTGGGATTTTGATGGAGGAACAGAGAGTGTGAAAGAGGGTATTAGGACATTTTAGTTAACAAAGGAAACAGCATACTGATGAAAACACAGCATTTCAGTGAAGCGATCCAGCTCTCTCCAGTCCTGCCCCAAGATCCTTCTCATTCTGAGTAAAACTGGTCAGAGAGGAGAAATGAAATGTGTTAACAGAATTCTCCTGAATCTGTCCAACAGCATACTGATGAAAACACAGCATTTCAGTGAAGTGATCCAGCTTTCTCCAGTCCTGCCCCAAGATCATTCTCATTCTCCTGAGTAAAAATGGTCAGAGAGGAGAAATGTGTTAACAGAATTCTCCTGAATCTGTCCGTGGTTCTCAATGAGATTTTGCCACACCCCGCAGCCCTGCCAGGATGGAGACATTTGGAAAGCTCCGGAGACATTTTTGGTTGTCACAGCTGGAAGAGTGGAGTGCTATTGGCTTCTAGTGGGTGGAGGCCAGGAGTGCTGCTAAACACTCTACAACACGCAGAACAGACCCCCACAAAAAAGAATCATGCAGCCCAAAATGTCAACAGCGCAGAGGTTAAGCTCTGCTCTGAATCCTGATTGAATGGCCTGAGCTTGCGGCTGGCAGAAACGGAGAGCGGTGGGCATCCCCAGCGCTGTCCCCTCACTCAGCTCCCAGGCAAGCAGGGGCCACCTCACTGGAGGGCTGCGGAGAGCTGGCGGGAATAAGTGTTTCTCCCTGCAGGTGCTGGGGAGTCGGGAAAGAGCACTATCGTCAAACAGATGAAGTAAGTAGGAACAAAGCCCTGAGGGACCGGGGGAGGGGGAGAACTCATAGAGCCAGGGCGGCTCCTGGAGGAAGGGCGCTTCAGCCTTAAGGAACCCGTACATAAAGGATATAAAGGACCCGATGCTCCTCATCCGCATGCCCCTTGCCCCTCATCTCCACTTTGGGGTGGCAGTAGGAATAGATTGGGTTGTTATGACCCTTTAAATCTTCCCAGATTCCTAGTCCCTTAGATCTGGTTTCTCAGGCCAGCTAAGGGTGAGGCGTGTACACCTCACAGGATCATTCATCAGGATGGCTACTCGCCAGAAGAATGCCTGGAGTACAAGTCCATCATCTATGGGAATGTGCTGCAGTCCATCCTAGCCATCATCCGGGCCATGTCCACCCTGGGCATCGACTATGCTGAACCAAGCTGTGCGGTACGTGGTTAACGGTATGTGGTTAAGGGAGGGAGAAATGGCTAAACAGATCAGCGGTCAACAAGCTATGGGGAAACATGGGTCAGAAAAGTTTGGTGTAACTAAAATCCCACCTGCTGAGCTTCAACTCTTTCTACTTCAGTCCTGGAGAAGGATGCAGTTCCCACCTTTGTAATAAGTGTTTACAAAAATCTGCTCTCAGCTTCCTCTGCCTTTTTGGCTTATTTTACCATTTAAATGCCCACCCCACCCGACCATGGCCATGGAACTTTTATAAGCTCAATCCCCGCAGCAGAGGGCCCACGGTTCACGGTGGCACACTTCTGGACCGAGCCTGGAGGTCGGAAAAACCACAGAGGAAGCCCCAGAGACCTCTGCTCTCTGCTAGGCATCCCAGGACTGGAGAGATTGCCACTCTCTACATCTCAGAAGCCCACTCAAAACCTAATCAGTATGTTTTCTTAGAATCTCACTGGACACTGACGCCACTTCAGGCTTTCGTAGCAATGCAAAATTCTTTCCTTCCAGCAGTATTCCCAGAAGCTTCCTGAAAGGCCAGGACTCCTGAGTAGTTCTCAGCCAGGTTTCTGCCTTACAGGACGACGGGCGACAGCTCAACAACCTGGCCGACTCCATTGAGGAGGGCACCATGCCCCCTGAGCTGGTGGAGGTCATCAGGAACTTGTGGAAGGACGGTGGGGTGCAGGCCTGCTTCGACAGAGCTGCAGAGTACCAGCTCAACGACTCGGCATCTTAGTAAGACTCTGGGGAAGTGGAAGGGTGAGGTGTAAGCCACTTTTTAGAAATCGCACTCAGCCTAAATTTCCAGTCACTGAGAGCTGGACACCCCAGGGCTGAATTCAGTTTGTATGTTTTATTAGGCTTCCGCAGTGCTCTACTGGGCTTCGAATTTAATGCCTTTGGATAGGAACATCTGACCCTATCTAAAGCCATTAGAGTAGTTCTCACTACTCTGAATTGCTTTACTCCGGCTCACTGCAGCCTACAAAGCTGAAGACCCAACATTCAAAAGAAGGGCTCTCTGTTTAGCAGCCCTCTTAATTCATTCACGTAGCCTCTCCTTTCAGAACTATGAACACTAGGACGGCCCTGAAGTTCTGCCACACTCTCCCAGGAGGCATGTGATTCATGATGGCCCTTTCAGGGTTGAATTTTCTAGCTGGTAACCCAGGCTCTACTTAGGCCAATAACCAAAAATTAAAGTCCCCTTCACCCACAGCATCTTATGTCAGGGTGCTAGGGCATGGGTCAAAGAAACTGCCAGAGCAAACCAAAGAAAGCTGGTCAGAGATTAGAGAGAACCAAATTTGCAAAATCTGGTTCCAAAAACATAAGGCACACAGAGTCTATCAATATTATCTCAGATAGCAAAGTATCACAGATGGGCATTAGCTTCAGAGTCAAACAGAACTGGGCTTAGCCCTTATTCTGTGGCTTGACCTTGTAATTACGTTATCCTTCATGCACGCGTACACGCACACACGCATGCACACTCACTCATTCACCGAGGCCCAGGCATTGCTACGTGTATTAGGTCATCACCTCATTTAATCTAAACAATAAGCCTTCAAGTATTTTTTATTAATCTCATTTACAGATAATAAAACTAAGGTTCAGAGAAGTTAACTAACTTGCCCAAAGTCATACGGGTAAATGGCAGAGGCTGGATTTAAATTAAGGTCTATTTAACCACAAAGTTGAACATTTTTTACGATATACCACAATGCCTCTTGACCCTGGACAAATTATTTCACTCCTCAGAATTTTTCCTTCATCTGTAAAGTGGGATATGAAAGTTAAAGTCTTATGAGGTTTTAAATGTGAAAATGCCTGGCACACAGTAGGCACTTGTGTTCACTTTCCTTCCTTCTCTCAGTCATATCTCTTCACATCTGCCTCCAACTTCTTTTTAAAATTTTTTTATGGTAACTGTCAAACATACACAAAAGGAGAATAACATCATGAATCATCTGGCTTCAGCTGTTATCAACACGTGGCCACTCTGATTTCATCTCCATCCCCCACTGGATTATTTTGAAGTAAATCCCAGATATCCTAAAATTTCATCCTAAAAATTTCATTTACATCTCTAAAAATAAAAACATTTTTAAAAAAAGATATCACAACATAATCATTACACCTAAATATTTAATAATCCCCTAACGTTGTCAGATATCCAGGTCAATGTTCATTCAAATTTCCCCAATTATGTCAAATGTTTTCCCCCAACTCGATTCGAGATATAACAAGGCCCGTGCATTGCAGTGATTCATGTCTTACATGTCTCTACGATCTCTTTTAATCTCCTGCTTCTCGATGAAACTTTTGGCATCCATTTGAAACACCAAATCTCATTCAAGGTTCTAGAAAACCTTGTAGTCAGGTAAAATGCAAAGAAAAGTTATCTGACTTGACTGAAATGGGGCGGAAACTGCCTCGAATGGGCTTGGGCCTTAGACCATCCCCCACTTCCTTTTTTAAGGGCACATGAGAATTTGAAGGACAGAATCCTAGATTTTACAATATGGATTCCAGTACTGGTTCTATCACCAAGTTAGTTGTATGACTTCGGCTAAGACTCTTTACCTTTCTTGGCCTTGGCTGCGGAAAATGTAACGTCATCAGTGCCAATCACTTTTCTCTAGCTACCTGAACCAATTAGACCGGATTACAGCCCCTGACTACCTCCCTAACGAGCAAGACGTACTACGATCCAGAGTAAAAACCACAGGCATCATTGAGACCAAGTTTTCCGTCAAAGACTTGAACTTCAGGTAAGTATGTGGTCCCCTGAAGGCAACACAGACACTTCAGATATCACAAAAGGGCATGGGCACATTTCCTGACCTTCACTAACGTCCAGGCTGAATTAATGTCCTACTTTCCCCCTTTCCCATCTTACTAACTGGCCCCAGAGTGGCTACCTTTCTGGGGGTAAACATCAAGTGCATGTAGGTCATAAGCATACCTATGAAATAGCTGTTTCTTCCCTCAGGATGTTTGATGTGGGAGGGCAGAGATCAGAGAGAAAGAAGTGGATCCACTGCTTTGAGGGAGTCACCTGCATCATTTTCTGTGCAGCCCTCAGTGCCTATGATATGGTGCTGGTGGAAGATGACGAAGTGGTGAGTTCCCCCATGACCCTTCCTCTAAGCTTCGTGTCACTTCAGTGCCCCGCATGGGTGATTTCAGCTAATACGGACCGTCTAGCAGTCTTCTTTCGAACAGATCAATCGATATCTCAGGCAAATGATCCTAGAAAAACCTTCTTCTGCAGGTTCTAGTTAGCACTTTAGAGCTTTAGACTTACTGAAAGTGAGCTTAGTCTCAGATTAGACATCCAAGGATCACTTGGACAGCACAAAGCTCATAAAAAGAACTAAGTATTGAAGGGATTAGGGATTTTCAACTCGGGAAAAGTAAAGGAGTTATACTTTGTGCTCTCCAAGGGTGCCTGTGGAAGTGAAGGATAGGAGATGAAAATGCAGAGCAGAAAAAACCATATGATGTGCTTCTTTACACAACATGATAGAGAGTTTGAACTGCTGACCTTACTTGGAAGCCTAAACATATACTGAGTGCCCAGGAGAGATGGCAAACCACACTAAAAAGAGATACGCTACTCCCTACCTTTCCTTTTACATTTGGAGCACTAGTCTCTCCAAGAAAAGGAGGTAGACAAGATACCTCCAAAGCCCACTCTGGTACCTCTGCTGGTTATTTCCTCTTAACAGAATCGTATGCATGAGTCATTGCACCTGTTCAACAGCATATGTAACCACAAGTTCTTTGCGGCTACTTCCATTGTTCTCTTTCTCAACAAGAAGGACCTCTTTGGGGAAAAAATCAAGAAAGTCCATCTCAGCATTTGTTTTCCAGAGTATGATGGTAAGTGTCAAGGGCTGGAGACCATGGTAATGCTTTCTTAGTAATGACTGGTGATTAGCTCATTTCCTATACCAAGCAGACATAAAGGAACTTGTCTTTAAGGACTACTAAGTGTGACTCCTTTGTTTAGCCGAGTCAAAGATCCTTATTCCTTTAATATTCATTCCTCTTATGACCTTTATGATATCCAAGTGATACTTGGATGTCTAATCTAAGAAACTTGGGCATTTAGTAATAGGTTTAAATTCAGATGTCTCTAAAATAGAGCAGACGTTAGATGTGGGAGAACCACCAACCATTGAGATACCTACCAGAAACTAAGGGTGGAGACATAGAGACACCTGTCCTTAATTTCTTTGCTCACCTCAAGCGAGAAACACTGGAATGCAAGAGGGGACCCTCCCTCCATAAGTAGACCCTCCAACTGCAGCTGTTTGACACAGCATTTTGAGGATCAAGTCAGTCACCTAAAACGTTAAGTGGGCAACTAAGAAAGGTTAATTTATCCCATTTTTTCACTATTTTTCTGGAAAACCAGGAAACAACTCTTACGAGGATGCAGGGAATTATATCAAGAGTCAGTTCCTTGACCTCAACATGCGAAAAGATGTCAAAGAAATCTATAGTCACATGACCTGTGCTACAGACACCCAAAATGTCAAATTTGTATTCGATGCAGTTACAGATATTATCATCAAAGAAAACCTCAAAGACTGCGGGCTCTTCTAACCTTCACTATTTCTCAAGTATACCTTCTATCAACAGGCTTGGAATCTGGGTAATTTCAAGCAGAAAATTACGGGTCAATATACCATGACATGGAGAATGAATGCCTTCTCCCTTGGAGATAGAGAAGCGTGATTGTAACCGTGTCTCACACATTCTTCTCAAAGTGGGATAGCTAGTGCAGTGTAAAGGGCACGAGGCCAGGAGTCAGAAGACCCAGGTTCCAGTCTCAGTTCCGCAATTTACTACAAAATGTAAATATTTCATTTCTCTGAGCCTTGAACTCCTCATCTATAAAATGAAGATAAATTCTCTACTGCTTCACAGAGTTATTCTGATGATCACAAACATAAGTGAAGGGAAGGCACGTAAAGGCTGTGTTCATCACAGAAAGAAATCCAATATAAAGCTGCCATTTATGAAATTCAACACTAGGCTTTTAGATGAACCATCCCAAACAAAACAGCAAAAACAGTCAAAAATAAAACCTCAATAAACGTACCACTCCTTTTTATTATCAGACCTTTATGTGCCTTAGCTCAGAGATCTGGATCACTGACTAGCAGATATGTTTGTTAGTTTCTAAGGCACATATCTAAAACTATCATCTTCATTAAACAGAGACTATCCCTCTGCTCCCCAAGCTGCCAAAAAGCCTGTTTTTTCATCTCTATAAGTAACTGTTTCTCAGCTATACAAGATACTTTCTGAATAAACTTGGACATTAACACACTCCCACTTACAGTATTGATTTTATTGCTGCCGCTTCCCCATCACAACTTAGAATAAGTGAACAATTCTAAAATTCTCATTTCAACTGCTATATATTTCAGGAGAACAAAAAAGGCAGCTGATCTTGCTTTAGGCACTAAAAATCTTTGCAGCTGTGTCCACGTTTTCATCCTGGCTGAAAACAACATCTCCCCTAGCAGACCAACAAGTAAATTATTCCTTTGAGGAGAAACGAAGCTTGTATTTATCTTGACAGGAGGTGGTGAAGTCAAGTATAGATTTAGCATTTACAACTACTAGTGAGGAAGGCTCTTGGCATCAAGATGTAGTATAGAAAAGAGTCAATTAAAATGAAAATATGCTCCTTGCCAGAAACACACATCACACTTAGGCTACTACTAGCAATATTGATACCAGAAAGCCATATGAACTTGAAATACACTGAAGAATAAATTTGCAGCTGTTAAAATTGGATTCATTTAATAGTCTTTCTGATTCCTTGAAAAGAAACCAACTTGGGAAAATTACCAGAGAAATAAGGGAAACTACTCTGCCTACTGCAGATCAAAAAACTTAAGCCAATGAAAAAACCTGGGCAATACTAATATATTGCATCCAAGAGCTGTTCAGGGACCATTCTAAATGGTAATGCTCTATCACTAACCTGTTTGCTTTAAGTCAACATACAGAGGTTCTGAGTCTTTTCTATTTTTTTCTATCATGGATCTTTCTGGCATGCTGATGAAACCCATGGGGCTCTTCTCAGAGTATTTAAAAACACATAAAACTCAGAGAATTACAAAGAAAAGCAACCTACTGAATATAGTTCTATCTATGCAGCTCTAACGCTCCAGGTTAAGAATCCACGCTACAGGCGCCAAATGTAATTTATCCCATTTATTCCACCTTCACATAGGGTAGCCAGCCCACTTCCCCCCAAATAATACCAGATTGTGTCTTTTTATTAACTTTTCCTTATCTCTGACTCAAGGCAGGAATTGGTTATGGTCCAAACTGTAAAAGCCTAACCCAGACTGCTTCGTTATTGATGATCATCTGGAACCTACCCTGTAGTATGAACCGACCCTATCGCAGGAAAAGAGCCAGTGGGGTAGGTCCTCTGGTAGACCCATCTGTAGCAGAACACGGGTGTTATTTTAAATTTTTCTCTGGTAGACATCGCAACTTTTAGTTGGTATGTAAACAAATTCACACAAGCCACCTTCTATGAAAACTGTGCAAAAAAGTTTATTTTGGAGGCTGGATGCGGAAGTAGCAGTGCCTATGGCAACTGCGTTCTATAGCTGCTTTACCGAGGTTAGGATCTGGTTAGGTTATTCATCTTACAGTGTTTTCAAGCTAAAACTCTTCTGGCGAGTCTACATGGGATAAAACTTTGAGGCATTGGTCATCCATTCACCTGTACCTTAGAACAAAGTCAACATAATTTTTTGAAACTCTTGGCCAACATTGGGCTCTCATAGAGTAAAGGCAAGAGTACGTCATGTCAAACGCTCTGGATAGGCTTCCAAGAGGCATTAATCCTCACCCCAGCTTGTCTGTCAGGCCCAGAGAAGGTTTCCAAACCTCACACTGTTTAGAGCTAGAGACAAAGTACACTAGTGCTTCTCCTACATGTCGGCTTATTTTTATCTCATGGACTTTGATTCATGTGCATGAATGTTCTCTTTGCATAAAATAGCTGCGAGAAAGCTAACCAAAATTAACCCATATACTCATTCTGCTGTCTTTATGTCTTTTGCTTCATTTTAAATTAAACTAACTATAACTGTTGAATTTGATGTATTTTTATGTCATTAGAAATTCTTTTCTGTAACAATGTAGGTTGGAAACAAATATTCGGCCCTATTTTCATGAACTGTAATCTTAATTCTTAGAATGTTAAAGCTAGAAGGAACATATAAACACATTCCAGGCCCATCGCTAGCAATTTATAAATAAGAAACTGAGCCCACCACGGAGGTGGAGTATCTATTATCGAAATCACACTGCTAGGCAGGAGCAGAGCGAGAACTCCAAAACGGGTCTTCTGAATCAAAAGCCATTGGTCTTTCTATGTGCACCATGCGACCAACAGCCCACCATACACTGTAAGGTCAAAGCCAATTTTCTCATTCTAAGCTCCTCTTACTCCCAACCAAATTCTTGGTTATTTTTTTAAATTGTCATCTCTTAAATCATATTTAACAAAACCATCTCCAAACTAAATACAAATCAGTCTCACAATGGAATGTGAAATTAGCATAAAATAAAAATAGAAATAGCTTTGTCAGAGGTATAATTTCTTGCTCGTATCCTTAGAGGGCAAAGCTCATCGTGTATTCCCTTGCGTTGCACGATTAGACACTGACGACGGTAAACCAAATGTCCATTAGGTTCCATTTTCTATGTAAAGTTGATAAAATCTTTTTTTTTTTTTTACAAAAATACAATATGATTGATACACAAGGACATATACTTTATGATTCCACTTATATGAGGTATCTAAAGTGGTCAATTTTATAAAGACAAAATAGAATGATGGTTACCAGAGGCTGGGGGGAGGAGTTATTGTTTAACGGGTATGTTTCTGGAGATGGATGGTGGTGATGATGGTTGTGTAACAATGTAAATGTAGTTACTATCACTTAACTATACACCTTAAAATGATTAAAATGGTACGTTTTATGCTATGTATATTTTACTACAATAAAAAAATGGAAAAAATACAATATAATTGGAATTGTGCTTTTACGTCTTTGTGGATAAAAAGACTGAGGAAAAGCAGCACATTGCAGTCTTAAAAGCAACGTAAAAGACACTTACTTGTAACAGTTCCTATTCTGATAAAAAGGTTCACTTACATGTACCCCAAACAGTCCAAGCCAGGGTAATCCATTGCCAAGGTGAGAAATAACAGCATCCAAAACACACTCTCTACTTGGAGATGTGCTGCAGCCCAGAGCATGCCGGCCATGCTGGGCGGAGGTGGTGGGGAGGGGTGAGGAGCGCGTACCTCCCACTGCCCGCTCCACCAGGTGCATGCAGCCCCGGAGCAGATTCCAGCAGGACTTCAGTGCTGGGCCAGGGGCTGCAAGTGTGCCAAGGCCTCTGGTGGTCCTGCTACGTGAAAGCCTGAAGACATTTCTAAGGTCTAACAGACCTACTGCAAAAGGGAACTTTTCTGCCCTTTGGCCATGAAAAAGCACTAGTATGGAAAAAAAAAAAAAAAAACTGGATTTAAATGCAAAACAAAGCCCTTTTTATCCTGCTTCACAAATTTTAGAGCAATTTATAGCTGAAATTCATTTCGGGTCTTCAAAATGAATATGGGAAATGATGCTGAGAAAAGACCACTATCTACAGTGAATATCTTTGTTGGTATTGCCTTAGATTACCTTTTTGTAGTGCAGTATAATCCTGAGTATTGTGAATATTTACAGAGCACTTATATATTCTATTTGATGAGAGCCATAGGACATCATAGCTGGAAAGAGTAATTAAGTGTTTTAGGTAACAGATGAGGGATGTTAGACTGAAAAGACCAGAACTTAGCATGCCCAACAACTCTCCCTCATAAAATTCACAGAGGTCTCAGGGCCTTCATCCTACATGAGCAAGAATGAAGTTACAACAGGTAATTTCTTGTGATTTGTTGTGTCTACTGGGAATCTCTCATACACATCAACAAGCTTCTTGGTAAAATGGATAACCCAAAGGAGTATGGCTGCAGGAACAGGGGGACAGTAGAGGATAGAAGATAAAGAAATCAAACTGTATAGAATTTAACATTCCAGTTGTCAAAGTTCTTACAGCTAATGAATGCTAATACAGAGACAGTGTATTCACTAATATTTGATTATTTCTATTTTGTTGATTCCCACTTGATTTCAGGCAAAGAAAACATTAGCACTGGGCATACACAGCCTTTAATATCTGACTCCTCAATCATCCTTACCTACCCCTTCCGAAGCCCTCAAAAACTTTCAGTATACGGTTATATTGAGGCTAGCTATCTTTGCTCTTTATACACCAACTGTAAATGAACATTCATGCATTTACACAGGTACCTCTGTCACAGAATAACCTTTATTTTGGTGTATCTTTCAATTTTCACTGCATAATTAAATGCATTAAACATGTTTGCAAACCCCAAGTTTCTTGTTTTGTCTTTAATTTTGTATAAAAATTAAACAGTCTATCTAAAATGTAGGAATGTTTTGAAGAGTCCTCTTAATAATTTTGGTGGAAGGCACTTTTAAGTCATGTACAAAAGGTGCTTCTTATTGGCAAATAAAAAATAATTTAGCTGTTCATTCACTAGTGATTTTGAGGTTATCTGTCTACTATTTGTGTTGATCTTTAATATTAGGTCCTATTCAGTTATCCCCCAGGTTAGCTGCATCAGAAACACCTAAGAAACTTATTTAAAAATACATGTCTGATATCTTAATGTAGGAGTTAACCAAGGAATTTATGATTTTAATCTTGCATCTCAGGCATCTACTCCTGTATAACATTCCTTATTATGTCTTATTCCTGAGAAGACTTGAGTCAGGCCACATCTAGGCCTGACACAGTATCAGAAAAAAACTGTCCTGCCCTGACTTGTTCTAAAGAGTTCTGAAATATGCTCTCAGCAAAAGTAACTCATAAAAGGTTATCAGAAAATTGGGTTTGGGGTGCAGGGGGTGTTTAAAACCTAAAAAAACGGTAAAGAAACAAAGATCCTGACTGTCCTGGAAGACAGTTCCCCAGTACCTCACGTACATCTTCCTTTTACTTCTCAATAGTTAATAGCGAGATCAACTTCCAATTTCAGGCCTCAAAGCAGCCTGGTTTTCTCTTGTGCTTGGACAGCTATGAAGCTATGTGGACAGCTATGGCTGGTCCAAAGTCAGAGTTCTCATTTGTACTATAAAGACAAGTAGAATACAAAAATTCCCTGTTAGTACTGGGAAACTGATATAACTTTGTTCTTAAAGTCAGTATCACATATGAAAGATTTCACAAGTAATGAGTGAAGGGAATTGGTGCTGTTTTAGGTTTTTATAAATGAGAAGACTGCAATTTTTTGAACATCTAGAAAGGGGGAAAAAAAAAATCAGTCAATGGTGGAGTTTACCTGGAATGAGACTAACTTTACCTTATGCGTAACTGCCGGTACAGCAAGGAGCTCTGAGACAGCAAACTCCAGAACTATGCTAAGCAAATGGATAACTATATGAAGTAGCTAGTCAGGCCAGGCAAGCAATGTCCAAAGAAAGTTACAGCTGCAAACGGTGGCCCAGATATAAGAATGTACACAAATGAATTAGAAGAACCAGCAGTTATTTTTAAATACTCCAAAGTGTGCATATAATAAAATACAAATAGAATACATAAGAGAATAAAAAATATACGAGAACAGTGTTTTAAAAATTTGGTCCATCTATTCTTAGAATGTAGCACCTTGTGAAAATTAACAATCCATCAGTGAAATAATAAAATGGTATACTAGATTTAGAAATCAAACTGTCGAAGATAAAATGTCATCTCAAGATCCACTTACGAATACTTGTAAGAGTTTTTGGAATTTTCGTGCCAAGAGGTGAAATCTGTTCTAAGAATAAATTTTATAAGGTTAGTGAAAACTGCCATTAAGAAGCAAAATACTTCCTCTTTACAGAGAGCCTAATAGATGGCAATTCTACAGCCCAAGGCTTTAATCAGGTGGAGAAGATATGACTGTCAAAAAATAAAGCTATTATTTCTGTCCTTCCTGCTAGGGTCTATTAAACACTGTTCTTTATTAAAATTTAATTTTCTTAGACATGCTGATTTCTTAGATGGTCCAAAGCCTGGCCACCTCAATTCTGATACATGACCTATGACAATCTCCAGCATTCTCCACAGACAAGACACAAGGCAATTTTTAGTTTCTTTGATTACAAATACCAATCCTTTTTCTCCATGCTAGTAGATATGATGTTTCATCCCCACATTCTGGCTCTGCTGTAAGAAAAAAATCTTTTATTTTAAAATACAATAGTGATTTGCAAGACTGATGATAAGAATAACCGTTTTAAAATTATAGACTGCTAGCCTACTGGCCAAGAATCAATCTCTAAGATGGAGCGAAGTGATTTTGACTTAAAGCATATTTGAAAACCACTGACTTATATTGCGTCCTCAAGGAATGTGCATTTAGATAAATTATCTGGAATGGTGTGGCAGGGGAGATGATCTTAATGTAAATACAGAACAAGATAAATGGTGTAGTGGCAGAAAAGTGGAGAACTACTGTTTTTCATTAATAGAAGGGCTAAAAAAATGAATGTATCAGATAGATGTATTCAAATGAAAATATAAAATGCATTTCAAAGTAAAATTAACTTTTTTGGATTATCTGTTATTTTGGGTTATCAACAATACCATCCCATTAACCCAGACTACAAAAGGACTACAGTTAAAACAACATTGGACCAGGTCTCATTCCAGATGATCCTATATTACAGAATACAATAAGAAAAAGATATATTCAAAATGAACAAGTACTATCGACCCTATTTACATTGTGGGTATAAGTCAAACACCAACTGAAGCTAATATTCTTGCTTTCAGATCCAATATTCCCAACCCTAAACCCTGTTAGATAATAGTTTTCCATCTGCATAGTTAATATTTTTCCAAAAAGGTGTAAGAAAAAAAAAAACTACTAACAAAGGCACCGAACTACTGTGGCTTGCTTTCTGAACCAGCTTTGATGACCATGAAACTTATTTTTTCTTTTAAACTAGTGAAAGGTCACATTAAAATATGAAATAGAATTCAATCCTAAAAGATTGGACCCTATAAGGCACTGCTCAAACTACTGATACGGAATGCCCATAATGCATTCTCTTCATTTGCCTTCTTCCAATGGACCATTCAATATTTAATGACATTTGCTGTACATTGTACAAAAGGACCCGCAGGCTAAGGTGAACATAGCTCTCCACACGACCAAAACGTAAATTTGGAAAATGGATTAGGACTGCTTATCACTTACACAGATAGGACAAAAGACCCTCAGTCTGGCCAAGATTCAACAATACTATTATACCAAAAGACTAGACCTTCAGGGAACCCTTCTTCCTAAACCCATTTTCAGACAAAGGCCAAAGCACACTCAGTGGGGGCAAAAAGAACAGTAGAAAATATTCCAGAGAGGACTAGTTACAAACAGGAACAAACCTGGACTCTTTACTCACCATTTTAATACTGCTGCCAACTATAACAGATTAAAATCTGTACACACGACAAAGTGGAAAAAGGTCCCAAAATGCAATAGTTTCGGCAAAAGAAGGCACTAACTAAGGATTACTACAATTAACATTGCTACAATAAAAACAACGGCAAACAAGGGTTTGGCACCACATTTACAAAGTAGAAGCATGCGCTATTAATACACTTCAGGTGTTTCCCAAGAGAAACAGCCATGGGAGATGAAAAACAAGGGGCATCTTTTACAAAACTCCCCATGACAGACAGACAAGCAAGAATCAAAGCGGTCAATTTAGTAGCTATGTAGCAGCAAAGTCACTGGTTCTGTTTCAAATTTAGCAATTTGCATTTCTGACCGGCAGATGCCCTGTGTTGTGTCTGGATTCAAGAAGCTGACTTTATCATACTACAGAAGCATTTATCTAGTAAGCATAAACCAGGTTAACTTTCAACCCTAAGCTTTAAAAAAAAAAAAGAGCTAGAATCCTATTACAAAACTCTCCAATATAATTACCATTTAGAAATCATAATGGTACTTTCAAAAGGATAGTAACATAAATTTCATCCAAAAATGCCATAATTATTGCCCCAATACTATGAAGAATTAAGTAATTACGGAAAAATTGTTTTGACCATATCAAGAGTTAAAAACAGAGTCCTACTAAGAGGAATATTTTCAGGATGATCTCATCATGTGCATAGTTAAGACTCTGTGTTTTAATAGATTCTTTTGCAAACAGAAAAATAAAATTTAGTAAAGTTATTCTTGATGAAAAAAAAAACTTTAAAAAAGAACTATTGGTTGTCTGTCAAGAAGGAAAAAAAAGAGTAAGCTACATATTGAAGTTCTGGAATGCAGCACCTCAACTTCACATCTGCCCTAAACATTTGAGATTATGAAATCCAAGTGATGTCTTGATGAGTGAATCATACTTTACAACTGTTCCAATTCCAATGTCTGACTTTAGCATCTCGTGTCAATTAAGAGTTCCCTAATACAGAAGATTGTGCTAAAGAGTGCTAAGATTCTGCATGCTGCTGCCATTCCCTGGTCCCGTTCATGCTTGCAGCTGCCCAATGAGACAGCAAGAGAAGTCTGGTCTCAACACTCCACACTGTAATAACTAGAAAAAAAGAATATTCTTAATTAGAGGAAGTTTACAAAATCAAGAAATATCACTTCAGCACTATAACTAAATTGTTCAAAGTTTTACCTTTCATTGACGGCCACACTCTTCAATAGAGTCCACATTCCTTTAAGTTGTTTTTAATGATGACATCTGTAACGGCATCAAAAACAAACTGCACATTCTTGGTGTCTGTGGCACAGGTGAAGTGGGTGTAGATCTCCTTGGTATCTTTTCTTCTGTTCAGATCTTCAAACTGGCACTGAATGTAAGCAGCTGCTTCTTCATATGTATTGGAACCTGAAGCAGACACCAAATAGTCTCAGTTCAGATTATAACAGCTACCTGAATTCAGTACCTAGTCAGGCCATCGCCATTTACTTATGAAGAGATGGAACATGACCCAATTGAATAGACGTATTTCTATATTTCTATAATCATTAGATTTTTCTTGAGAGCAGACCCATCACTGTAGGTAAAACAAAATCATCACAAAGATCCAGGGAAACAAAACTTGAAGTTTCTCCTTCCCCTTTCATTTATTTTTCAGCTAAACAATCTAGAAAGTATAAAAGGAAATTAGGGAAGGAAGAGGATACAGTTCTAGAATATACCTGCTTAAAAGGTCAGAGAGCCTACACTGCTTGAGTGATCATGAAATAAACAATTCAAAAGGGTAAGCCATACTTCTTTTCAAAAGTCATTCCAGTTTTAAAGGAGTTTAGCCTCAAAGCCTTATGACAATAATTTAAACCACCAAAGGTAAACTAAGAGATGCAAAGGGAAAAGGCCTTGAATTATACAGTTTTTGGTAGTAAATTTTGTCATATATGAATTATATCTCAATGAAGCTGTTATTTTTTAAAATGTAAGGAGGACCAAAAGTAAATTCCATTTCCAACAACATTTGTATGGAACAGTCCTAATCACCTGCTTCCTACACCATCTTGTCTACCTGTGAGCCTTCGGAGTAACCCTAGAGACTGGCTGCAGAGCCAGGGAAACTCAGCAAAGACAACACACACAGTTACTCCTATGAACGAGAGGCTATTTTCAGTGACGTTAAACATGACAAAAAATACCGACAACTACGTATATAAAGAAGACTAAATAACAAAGAAAAGCTTAAAAAAGAACAGAATATTATTTAAACAGAATATTTAAAGACAGCTTGGTAGGTGCTTAAAATAAGTTTCTTGAAAGCCACATCACTTTTTTAAATTTAAGGAGACAGATGACTGAAAATCAATTTTGTCTGGAAGGAACAGATGATACTTGGAAAATAGGCTTGGAAGTTGGCACCTCTCCCCCTGCCACCCCCCAAAAAAGGGACGTTGATATTGAAGGCACTCTGCTGTGTGTGAAGATTCCAGGATGGAACATTAATGTCAACCCTTTCACTTAAGATTTCTCTCTCATCCTAAAACTTGGCTACTTTCTAATATAAACTCACCTAGTTCTCACCTCCCGCCTCACTCTGAACAGAAGACCACATTTCCAACTTCTTTGAGAAACAGGTCATGGGGCTTAAACTGTAATTTCAACTTTGTAGCCCAACACCTCCTTTAAAAAGTTACCAATATCTGCACTAATTATCGCACTTTGGGCCTTAGAGATGTCTTCCTTCTGGTTCAAAATTCAATTGCTTTACCTAGACTCTTTTCTTTTTCAAGATGAGGTGAAATTCACTCAACATATAATTAACTATTTTAAAGTGTACAATACAGTGGCATTTCCTGTATTCGCAATGTTATGCAACCACCACCTGTCATTTCAAAACCTTTTCACCACCCCAAAAACAACACCCATTTCCATTAAGTAATCCCTCCCCATTCCTCTACCCTTCGCCCCCCAAACTCCTGGTAACCACCAACCAGTATGCTTTCTATCTCTATGGACAGGCCTATTTTGAATGTATCACATAAAAGGAATTACACAAATGTGACCTTTTGTATTTGGCTACTTTCACTTAGCATCATGTTTATGAGGTTCATCTAAGTTGTAGCTCTGCTCCTTTTTATTGCTAAATAATACTCCATTGTATGGACTTTCCATTCTGTACCTATTCATCATGCCTAGACTCTTGATTCCTTCTTTTCCCACCTGCTTATGAATCGTGCTCCACCAATTACATGTACTTTTTATAACTTCTCTTTTGCTATACTCTTAAATCTCTCCTTCCCCTGTAATCCAAGCGGTTCGAGAGCAGGCTTGCACTTGCCTTCATTCCTTCCCTGCCTACTCAGTAACTCACTGTACCTGGCTGGCTCTATGCTCATCACTCCACCGATAATGCTCTCAATAATGGTTAACTCCAGAGGCCAGGTTTCAATGTGTGCCTTACTTTGTTTTTCAGCACACATTGTTGACTGCTCCTCACTTTTTAAACTTTCCTTAGTTTCTGAAGCTTTGGCTCTCCTGGTTCTTCTCTTTGGATCCTATACAAATCTCTTTCTTTCCTTTTTTTTCTGACAGAGGCTGGTGTCCGCTCACATTCCATCCACAGTCTTTTTCTCTCATTATGTATCATCGCCCTATGTAATTCATTTCCATGTTGTATTTGCTCATGATCTCTAATCAATTTATCTTAACCCCCAACCTCTCCCTAAGCTTCAAGGCAATGTATATAAGTGCCTATTGGATATCTCCATCTGGATGTTCCAGATACGTCAAAATCAACATTCCCAAATACGAATTCAGATGACAGAATCAGCACCCAATCAAGACAGAACTCTGAGAGTACCTTTGACTTTTCCCATTTCCTTATTTTACTCTACTCTACAGAAGGCATTTACAGTGTCGGCTCAGCAAGTAAGAGCTCCCTTTCCCTGGAAATACCCAAGTCTAATCTAAAGAGCACAGTGGTGCAGCCCTGGCAGTCATATTTGTATCCCTGTCCTTGACTGGCTGACTGAACTAAGAATTTCTTCCTGCCTTAACCTTGGCCAGGATCTAAGAATCTGAACCTGGGGCCAACTGATCCAAGTCTAGCCTGGTCTTTTAAATGGAGGAGGTAGAGAAGATGTGGCAAGGCCATCTTTTATCACATAAACTGAGTAGTAAAAAAGTTGGTAAGGCCAGAGAGAATAAAAACAACACAGAGAAGGAGAAAAGACATGGGGAAAAAAGTGCTTCCAGGGTTAACAGCTTTCTATTTCCTAGTTCTAAGTACATTCTTAAGACCTGTCTGCATTCTTGCCTTTGGCTTCTTTGGTATATCCCTATATCTTCACCAAAAATTTTTATTTGCATCCTACAAAGGGTCCTTACTAATTCAACTCCCCTATTTTTATTGCATAATCTTTCTAAAGCTCAGTTCCTATTGTATCATGTGCCCTAATTAAAATCCTTCAATGGCTACCCAATGTCTCAGCGTGAGAAACTAGGCTCTCCGTGAGCATCTGTGCCCATCTCTCCAACCAGTCCTTCTTACCACTTAAAGCTCCAGCACTACCAAATTCCTTTTAGTTTTAGAACAAATCATATGCTATTGTCTTCTTAAAATGCTTTTATTCCCCTGTCTGCATAGTGATTTCTAATTCCTGCTCTTACTGTCTCACTCCAAGTGTCATTTTTTCCTAGAAAAAGATTATACTGACCCTATAGAAGTAACCACTGCTTCTGTTCCTCTTTAAGAAAAATTTTATACTACATTGAAATTCTTTGTGTCTTTCTCTACAACTAATATCAGTTTTTTGAGTACAAAGACTGCATGTTATCCTTGTATTTTTGAACATATTTATACCAAATTTTGATTTTTATCTTTCTTTATATTCCTCAAAAAATGAGAACAGAAATATAAAAACCAGTAAACTCGATTATGTCTGGAATAGCACTTTAGCCTTAAGAGGTCTTAATCACATGCTTAATGTTGACATCTCTACCTGTGAACGCTCTCTGTAAGGATATGCAGGCATCGTCCAAAACAAAAAAGAGTTGTAGAAACATCACTGAAGTGCTGATCTAAGATGTGTACCTCCAAGAAAATCTCTCATGATCCCTTACCTGTGTATTCTGGGTAACAGATAGTTAATGGACTCCTCTTTATTTTTTCCTCAAAAAGGTCTTTCTTATTGAGGAAGAGAATGATTGAAGTGTCTGTAAACCATTTGTTGTTACAAATGCTGTCAAACAGTTTCATGCTTTCATGCATTCGGTTCTGAAAAAGAAATAAAGGATAGGTCATTAGCAAAAAGTAAAAGTGGATTAACTGTTCACGAAAAAACAGACCAATAAGTTTTAAAAGCATTGAATGGCACTCATGGAATTAAGTCAGACACTGATAACAACAAAAGCTGGGCCAGTCCTCAGTTTTGTAATTTTTAAGAGGCTGGGAGGAGGAAAAAATATCTGAGTGACAAGAGGACTTAATCCTGCCCACATAACTCAGTGTGCTGTTATATCTTTTAAGAGTTAATAGGGCATGGATCAATATTTTGAAAATCTAATCTCACTGACGAGGAGAAAAATTAAGGATGTTAAGTTTTGGTTCAATGAACACATGGATGCCCAAAATCTTCCTAAGAGTTATTTTCTATTTCCTCACTGCATGAGAAAGGCTTTTTACCAGAAGCTCCAACATACCATCTCCTCATCTTCAGCCAGAACAAGGTCATAATCACTGAGGGCCACACAGAAGATAATTGCTGTCACTCCCTCAAAACAATGAATCCACTTTTTTCGTTCTGATCTTTGGCCACCTACATCAAACATTCTGAGAAAGAAGAAAAAAAAGCACAAATTCAGCAAGGTCACACACACATTTTTCCCTAAATTGAAATTGTTAGGGAACTTCACACTATTGCTTATTCTAAACCCCCTTTGTAATAGAAAAACAAATAGATAAAATGTAGTCAAAATAATCTTCTGTAGTTAAAAGTAAAACACAACATGAGAAAACCAAATTTAGGAGTAACCAAAATTCTCATGTTATATACACAATTGAGCTTCCTCTCTATCAAAGCTTATCAGATGTGCCAAAAGTTGGCAGAAAAAGCACCGAAATGGATTAAGGGAAGAGAAAAAAGACAGAAAAAATAAAGAGCTGAAAATACAACTTGATAATAATAACTTTTATTGTGTTTACCATAGTGCCAGACACTACCCTAAACATCTTAAGTACATTAACTCATTTAACCCTCATAATGCTCCTATATTATCATCCCCATTTTACAAATAAAGTGAGGCACAGATATGTTAAATAATTTGCCCAAGGGCACACGCTATTAACAAATGGGGACTGGATCTGAACCCAGCACTCTAACTCCAATACCCAAGCTCTTATCCACACCATCACTTTGTCTTTCAAATGATTTACCTCTTTAGTTAAAAGAGAACAATGAAAAAATATAAATCCCCAACCTGCATTCTGCTTCTATAGACTCTCGCTACTGATTCAAAAGTTTTCCATTTTTCTTTCTTTTTTTTTTTTTTTACTGAGGTATAATTGAAGTATGTTTTCCTAACTTAAAAGGAAAAAATATTTGAGATTATTAAAAAAAGTAAATTATATTTTTTGGTAGGACTCTAAGAACCCAATATCTAAAAACAAAACCAATGTTCCCCAACTCCAAGTCTTATTTGAACCTAATTAATAATAGCAAAGCCTCAATTATTCACACACTTCGTGTTCCACTCTGGATTAGTTTTAGTCCACTGCTCCATTCTGGAGGTCTTATTTGATATCCAGAGTCAACTGCTCAAGTTCTATCAACAGTGTCCTCATCTACCTCCTACAGTAAAAGGAACAACTACACAGCTTTGTCTTTAACTGGTACTTGGGTCTGAGGGGGTATGCAAACAAATGGGTAAATATCTTAAGATATATGTTTGATGACAATGATAAAATTTTTAAAGGTTGAACTCAATCAAGCTGGTTTAGTGTATCAGATCTACAGTGACTAGGGGTTTATTTCCAGAGAATTCTTCCTCCAGAGATTAAGAGAAACAAGAGACAGTTGAGTAACTTCTCAACGTGTGTTTGAAAAAGAACAGTTATCTTATCTCTTCAGGACCCAACATTTTCTTTTGATTGATCCTGCAGCTGTTTTCGACCTTTGGTCATGATACCTAAAATGATGCAATCAAAGCTGGCTTTAACACAGGGTCATATTGTAGGTTTTAGGAAAGTTAACATATATTGTACCATGGACGTCTTTCAAGGGGAGACACCAATAATTTTAGTTAACTTCTCTATTTTCTTCTACAAAGTCCATAAATCTGGTCAAACACTATGAAGTTCCCAAGGTAGGCTTTTAGTACATATGAACATTTACAATATCATTCACTAACAGATCAACATTTTATAAACATTACCTCATAACTGAGAGGCAAGTAAGCAATTATACAATGCCTTGCATATAGTAGATGCTCAATAAATGTTTGAATAAATGGATAGTGGTTTTGCCTAGAGAGAAGAGGAAAAGGAAGAAATAATAGTACTTTATAACAAGATATCTACATGCCAACAATAAAGTGGGTGCAGCACCTTAATAAGATCTGGCTACTGATGCTGACATAACCAGTAGGATTTACCGAACTAAAGATCAATCTATGACATCAACAAGAAAGTTTCCCGTACTAAATAAAGGTCACAGCATTTAATTATAAATGGATGATTAATCTTATAGTACACAAAGAGACACCTTATACTTATGATTTCATGGGTGATGATCCATGTGGCCTTTCCTACTCTTGTTAAATAAATTCATCAGTACTAAAGATAAGCAGTTCTATTCTATAAACACGTATCTGAACTGCTATTTTCCTGTACCAAGTTTCAAATCCATTTTTGTGTATTAAGATTTCAAGACCTCAACTGGTATCTAGTAATACCTAAACTCTGAGTGAACTGAACAAATCCTCTGAAGCATGTGTTTTCAGAGAAAGGAAAAATGAGAGGATCTGAGCTAGAAGTTTCATTTGCATTAAAAAAGAAATAAAAACATTAATGATTTTTAAAAGTTACATTTGTATGCAACAATGCTCAATATCACATTCCACAAAAAAGCATACTGAGGTAGCAAAAAAGAACATTTTACACACACACACACACACACACACACACACGCATATATGTATGTATATTTTAATATATATTGAAGGGGAGAAGAGTTTACTCCTAATCTCAAAGGTCACAAAAGCAGAAAACAGGAACCAAAAAGACAGTTCTAATATTTACAAAAGACCATTGGTGCAGAGACAAGCTGAAGCCTATTTGAGTTACTAATGCTGATAAGAAAATCCTCCATATTAGAATCCTAGAATTTGCTCTAAGACAATCATTGTTTATGTCCTCACACTGCGCTAGATAGCTCTAGCCCCAGCTCGATTTCCCATTCTGCATTGTGTTAAGAACTCAGTTATGCAGGATACTGTGCACAAATCGGTCCAAGAGCCATGACATCGGCCCCATTCCATTAAACTTAAAAAGAAACGTAATCCAGTAAGAAAAGATTGACGCTGGTAAGAAAAGAATTTCCATTTTAATATCGAAATGGCAGAACAAAGCCACACAGCTAAACCAAAAAACTGGTTTTCTATCCTTTTATAGTGTTGTTGCTACCCTTCTAAACAACAAACATTCAATACCTGTTTTGGTGATTCCAATAAAAATGCAGCTGAAAAGAATAAAATTAAATAGAAAATAAACTGGTAGCCATATGATTACTTTTACTGATATTGAAGTTATAATTTAATTGTGATTTAAGTTCCTCCAAAGGACAAAAAGATTTGATGCTATTTGAAGAAAAAAGGAATGTCTGGGCCCCCACAGACATTTAAACTGGCTGATAAATATAGTGGTAAGTTTCTAAACCAAGGAATATTGCCTAGAGAAATTTTACCCTGATTAAGAGACACTAACTAAAGGAAAGATACTTGGGTTTGGCACATCTAGCGTAAAGGCTAACGACTTACTTGAAGTACAGCTCTTTGAAGGTGAAATGTGTTTCCACAATGCCTGTGGTCTTCACTCTTGTTCGCAGGACATCTTGCTGAGTTGGAATGTAGTTGGTTTGGGATATTCTATCCAAATCATTTAGGTAACTAAATAAAACACACATTTTATTTTTACCTGGTGAAGCCAATCATGTGCAGAGCAGTCAAAAGACAAAACTAGTTCTTTGCTAAAAGTAGATTCTGAACCTGTCACTAAAGTGGCAAAACAAAATCAGATTTTCAATATCAGAGAAATAACGAGAAAAATGTGAACCTAGCACAGGACAATTAAAGAAGGTTCTATATATACCACACAATGAACTATGCATTGCACAGTTCAAAAACCAAACCAAAGCAAAAGCCCTCTGACATTTAAAGTTAATCGGTCATTTGTATGTTCAAACATTTGATAGGACATTAGAGAACAGTATTTGAATTACTAAAATTTTAAAAACCATGCTCAACGAATAGCTCTGTTTTCATTCATGAAACAAGAGTTGTGGGTTGTTTTTTTATCTAAGCCAAAAAAAAACAAACTTGTAAATGCCTTCAAAGAAATTTGTCAATAAAATAATTAAAAGACTGCTTCAGACCTACATTAAATTCTTCATAATTTCAGGGTTCCTAAAGATTTTATTGGCTAGAGAAGTGGAGAACGGGTGGCACCACTATACGTGAATTATTAATAATCTTCTATAAAACTAAGTACAGTCTTAATGTGAAAGAATCAGTCAAGCTTAGATCAACAATTATGAAAAAAATTCTATAAATCATTATATCTTCAGGTGTAGCTGAAGGATTCAGAGCTTACTAATGATGAAAAAAAATACAATCTAGTTTTGATGACTACTGGAAGAATTATTTAAACTACCAATATCTGCAATTAATATTATTAAAAGATGGGCAAGAATCCTGAAATGATTCTAAAGTCAAATTTTTATTTAAAGAATAAGTATTTTTTTAAATATCATTTAATTTCTTCTTATATCAACTTAAGTTAGAATGATGGGAAAAGTAGGAAAATATAATAATGGAGAAAATACCTTAATACTTAAGTGTCTTCATTTTTGTAAAGAAATGGATACAAGTAAGAACTCATCAAGCCCCAAACGTGCACGTTAAAAAAAAATATTCTGAATATAGGTCTTATAAATAAATATGTTATAAAAGAAGCAAAACAGGATATAACATGTTATAGCTTAACAAAAGTATTAATTACAAATTTTCTAAAACTTAGTAACATTTGAGAATTTCCTTGACAAGTAGATGTTTCAACTTCATTTCAAGACTCAACATACTCTTCCTATATAAAGTCTGCTACTGTGATCTGGTGAAAGATTTCTAAGTGGTGACTAGTACGAGAAAAATCCATATTGCAACCCAGTCAGAGAGAGTCGGATTGCATAAAAAGGGATATCACAATTTTAAATTCCCCCTTAGCTGGCAATCAATGCAAAGCCCTTACGCAGAGGGAACTTACTGAGCTGGAAGAGATCCAGGATGCAGCTGCAACAGATTTTTCTCCTCTTTCACTTGCTTATTATAAACTTTCACAGAGCTGCTTTCATGGTGCCAAGTCTCCCATTTACATTCCAAGAGGAAACATTTTTTTCCAAGTCATAAAAAATGTCTAAGGGCCCTATAACCAAACTGAAACAATCTTGATAAGGGATCCTACAGACTTCTAAGAGTGTCTGTTACTTAAACACTTCCTTAAGGATGGACATGAGTCACCAAGTTATTTTCTGTTATACTTCCACAGAGGAAAACTACTTACTATGAAGCAGAATCATTGAGTTGATATTCTCTGGATCTGCAGAAGCAAGCCTGCACCCCACCATCTCGCCATAATCGTTTAATCACTCCTGCTAGTTCTGGAGTCATGACTCCTTCTTCAGCACTGCCAGCTAAAACAAATAACTGCCGGGCATCATCCTGAAGAAAGAGAGACATTTCTTAAAGACCTGACAAGAATGCCTTTAAAACACACACATACGCACACATGCATGCAAGCACACGCGGTTGTATTATTTTAAAAGAGGCATTAAAGAGACCTTTCCTGGCAGGCAGTCAGAGAATTTACAGTGAAGTCATCCCCCTTCTCAGTCCACTACAGTCGTAGTGCAGAGCTGAGCTGAGGGATGACTTCACGGCCCCTACCACTTGACACATCGTCTCCTCCTGCAAAGATCTCTTCTGACAGGCCTACAAATCTCCATCCTGGTTATTCAATTTTTGACAGAAAAAAACTGGCCCGTGAGACAGACACATGTTATTCACTCCCTTTCTGTTCAAGGAAGCCTACAATAAAAATAGAAATGAAAAGACTAGCGCGTAAGAGGTAGTAAAGTCTAAACATGTCCAAGTGAGTAAAGCGAGTTTAAGGAAACACTGTTCTCTTCTTCCCCCTGCAGTTCAGAGAGAAGAACAGGAAGAAGCGGAGACAGGCACTTAAAACGTCTGGAAGCCTGGTGGGGGAAATAAATCCCTCAGGAAAAATTCAGTCTCTAGATTCCCCCAAAGGAATACTCTTCCTCTAAGTAAGATAGGAGGGAAAAGGCAGCAGGGGGAAAAGAAAGTTACAAAGAGAGATCTGATCAAAACTTCGTGAGTCACGAACATACCTTTAGAAGTGGTTACAGTTTTTAAACCTAAAATATGGGAGGGAGAGAGGACCGAAAAGGGCTATGAAAACTGTGACTGTTTTGCTTTATTCGTCTTGTCAGATAGTGTAAAAATGAGGTCTCGTGGGATGATTGCCTCACCTCCATTTGATATTCATCTGCCTCAGGAGATTTCCAAGTAACTGTAAAAATGCAGATACTAAAAAAGCATGTACTGGGTAAAGAAAAAGGAAAGGAGAAAGAAAAGCAATCGACTGTATCACTGGGAGTCATCAGGACAATGAGCGAGCCAGCAAAAAGCACTTCAGAACGTAGGTGAAGTCACAACCCAAAACTCCTCAGACTTGTGTGTCCATCTAAGCAAAGCAAAACAAATCCAACCAGGGTGTGCCCCAATTAATTCTGCCAAACTCAGGGTCTTCTGCCTTAATGACTCGCCGAGTAATAGTCCTTTAAGATACTTTCGCTATGCTTTCTAGTAATAGTTTAGGCCCAACTCTCTTAGAAACTTTATCTAACATCTACATTCCCTTCCTCTCTTTTCAGAGATAAAAATTATAAATTAATAAATGACTGAAAAGCTGAAAAAGTACTGAAATCGGCAAACACACTCAACAGTGAGCATGTCCTTCTATGTATATGGCATAGTGCTTTATTTAACATTTCAGTCCCTTGGTTCTGAAATTTGACCTATACTCATGCAGGCATTAAAAAAACCTCAATAAGCATTACTTTTAAAAAAATAATATCATGAATATAATTTTAGAAACTTTAAAATAGAGCTATTGCTACATAATTTTGCTGTTCTGACTTTGTAAACACTGCTTTAGGAGGAAGCATTTTTCTCTTACCACTTAATCTCTTTCACTAACCAATCTTGCTTCCCCACAATAAACCTTTTTTATAGGTCTATAAAGAGGCCACACTCTACAATGAACATCATACCTTCACCCTATCCCACGTCTATTCCACATCCAGCTCTAGTCTTTTCCATTCTCTCTAACCGACCACAAAAAAATAAAGATAAGAGGAGCTATAAATATAAATTCTTAACATATGAAAAAAGAAACTTCAAAAAATTATATGTAGATTAGGATGGGCGGATGCTGGAAAGCTAGATGATTCAGGCCTGAAAGGAGTAATGTCAAATAAACCTGGTAAAATAGGAGTGTTAGGACCTCAAAATTAATGACACTGATTTGATAAACTAAAGAAATGAAAGGAGAAAGGATGCTACGATCTGAATGATTGTGTTTCTCCAAAATTCATGTTGAAATCCTAATGCCCAATGTGATGGTATTAGGAGGTGGGGCCTTTGGGAAGTGCTCAGGTCATGAGGGTAGAGCCCTCATTAATTAGTGCCCTTATAAAACAGACCCCAGAAAGATCCCTTCCTCTTCTACCATTTGAGGACACAGCAAGGCACCTGCAACCTGGAGAGGGCCCCCACCCAACCATGCTGGCACTCGATCTTTGACTTCCAGCCTCCAGAAGTGTGAGAAATAAATTTCTGTTGTGCGTAAGCTACCGAGTCTACGGTAATTTTGTGATAGCAGCCCAAATGGACTAAGACTCAGACAGAAAGTGTCAATTGCATCTGGTGACAAAGGAGTGTCAAGACCCAAAGATTAACAACAACTAATTTGGTAATGTAAAGAAATGAAAGGAGGAACAATGAAGAGATATAAAGTAGAACAGAGAGAGGGTGAGAAATAAAAAAAGGAAGGAACTAAGAGAAGTAAATAACTGAGGTGGAGAAAAAGCCAACAAAGAAAGGAAAGAGAATAAACACAATATTACTGACCAGTTGTCGGGCACAGCAAATACAACAGAGAAGTAGAGTTAGTTGATAGGAAAAAATGAGAAAAGGGAGGGAAAAAATAAGAACACAAAGAGAGAGCTGGTAGAAAGAGGAAAATACGGAAAAGAAGGAAAATAGGAGGTAAGAGAATAGAAAGGAGTAAGGCAAAAATAGACTTTATTCTTGCCTCATCTATCACATTTTCCCTGTTTAATGGCTTAGAAAAATAGTCTCTAATTTTTGTGATATAGCACCTTTTTACAAAAACATAAAAGCCACGCCTCTCACATTTCTTCCTCCCTTCTTCTGCTATCTTCTCTCCGTCGTTTTACAACCCCTACTCTAACTGCTCTTCCCTATGCCATTTCTAAGACTTCCCAGTCCAATACCACTCAATTACAACCACCCTTCTACTATTTTTCCCATCAATTTTTCCCCACTTACTTACTGAATATTAATTTGCATGTGATGAGTTGAGAGTTGCTAAGCAGAGCCCCTAAGCTTCTTCATCAACATATAGGATTGCCTTCCCAGGCAGCCTCCCAGGTCACTTCTTTTTATTGCCCACAGTGTCTTAGTATGACACACTGATCACAGCTGATCTTTAGTTCCAGAAAATCATCCTATACATTCCCAACCTTCTCTTGGAATTTAGCTGATGACATAAAAGATGCCTTTCCTTCATTTTGGCTCTCTCTCTACTGCAGTAAATATCCTAATTTACAAACTAGACCTCGGGCACACTAAGTATTGTAACTAATTAACACGATTTTTAACTCTCTGACATGTGCAAAAATTTTATTAGACGTGACAGAATCGAATTCTATAGTCTATAGTTCAATGTAGTATAGGGATATAGTAATCCTGAGTACCTTAAAACTGCCTCTAAAATTCAGACTTAGTATTCATGTCCTTACCAAGTTTATTCTGGGAGACTCATATTTACCTTTAATCTCTACACCCCAGAAAACAGAGCTACACATCATGGGAACCTCCTTTAGATTACACCAATTTACTATCACTTGTTACTATAACATAGAAAAACAGTGCTGTAAAAGCAAGTGAATAAAATAGTTATCACAAAAATGACAGTATAGCCACAGAATCCCTTTCCCTGGGCTCTCTTTTGTGTGGCAATCTAATATCTCCTAAAGCAGAATATTTACTAACACTCCTCAAATGAGCACACAGAATTTTGCTACATCTTATCTCGTTGCTTAAATTCATTTCCCTAAAACGCAAAACAAATTTTGCTTAACTGCATCTACTGAAAAAGAGCAAGTAAAGAGGAAATGAGAAACACTTACTGCTCTGGCAGCTTCCCCAAAGTCAATCTTTAGCCGTCCCATGGCTCTTATGATTGCAATAATGGACTGTATAGTATTGCTGTAGACAACTACTTTATATTGTTTACATTCATCCTCTGAATAGCCATCCTCATGAATGATTCTTTAAGAAGAAGAAAAACCACAAATCATTACCATAGACTTAAAAAGATAATATAGATCTGTATGAAGAATGAGGAAATGCAGTCTTACAAAAGATCATGTTTCAACTTACTTCATCTGTTTCACGATGGTGCTTTTACCAGATTCTCCAGCACCTGAAAGAAAACCAGACTTTGAATTCACACAAAAGCATGAAATCAATATAAGTGATAATTTCAGATTAATGAAAAACACAGGTCCTAGGGGAAACTCTGGTAATGCTTTCTATCAGAAAAACTACTGAACTTCTCCATTAGAGTTTTCGCTTTCTTTATATAACTCAGCAACCAAATATAATTCATTGAAAGTGTCTCAGGGCCTACCTGATATCACTGAAGGAGATAAACCAACATAATACCTCTAGGAATTCATCCTTTACATGAAACATCAAAATACAGACACTGAATGAACACAGGCAAAAATGAAATTAGTTTTTGGCCTATTCTCTTTTATTAACTTCTCAGCTAAGAGACTAAAGATCAAAACAGAAGGAGAGGAGGCATTGTCCCTACCACTTTTCCACTGTATACTTCTCCCCACTCAACACCATGTTTCCTTCCTCAGCCAGCTGGAATCACATTAATGACCACAAACGTCAGCTGGGACCTCCTTGACATTCCACCTGTGTTTCCCTAGTCAATCCATTCTCCCACTTTCAAGATGGCTATTTCGCACTACTACCTCCCAACCCTTACAAACCCCTTCCCATTTCTGACGCTCAGCTGATGATCCTGACTCTTTTATTGGAAAAATTAAAGCACTCAAAAAAGAAAAATCTCATTTTCCCATAACCAAATCTACCAATCTATCTGCACTGCCATGAGTATTCTCTACCTTTGTCAATGAACTGTCTCTGCCAATGTCTAAAACTAACCCCTCCAACTGTGCACTTATCCACCTCATTTCTCCTACTCAAGGACTTGGCTACCACAATTATCTCATGTCACTCAAATATCACTGGGTTTTCTCTTTCCACTGAGTTGCTCTCATCAGTATACAAACTTACTATACTATTTATTCTCCATCTTAAAATCAAGTCACCTCACTCTTACCTCCCCCTTGACTCCACACATCTTCCTCTAACTACCACCCTATTTGTCTCGTCCTCTTTACAGCAAAACCCCTCTGAATTGTCTTATATCCATGGTCTCCAATTCTGTACCTCCAAATCTCTACTTAACCCACTCCAATCAGATGTTCATAACCACCACTCTACTGAAATCTGTCTCAAGGTCTCCAACAACTTCCATTTTAACAAATCCAATGGTCAAGTCTCGGTCCTCATCTTCATCTCTCAAGGAGAATTTATCCAAGTTGATGACTTCTCCCCTTGAAATATTTTCTGCACTAGACAGGCTTCCAGAACCCACATCCTTCTGGTTTGACTCCTACCATACTCTTCCACAGTCTCCTCCCTCCCATCTTTCAATTCTAAAGGCTGTGTTACTTCCTTGGCTCTTTTCCTTATCTCGATTCATTCTCTAGGTCATTTCATCTAATCTCGTGGTTTTAAACACCACTCATAAACTGATAACAGTTAACATCAAGGGAGTACTGCCCGCCAGACACTGTTCTAGGCACTTTTCTTGTATTAACTTATTTAATCCTCACAATAACCCTGCAAGGTAGATATTATTAGTATCCCCACTTTATAGATAAGGTAAATAAAGCAGAGAGATATCAAGTTAACTTGTCCACAATTAGTCAGTAAGTGGCAGAGCTGAAATTTGCTTTCACACAGTTTGGCTCCAAAATCCTACATTGCCTCTTATGTCAATGATCTCTAAATTTAGATCTCTAATCCTGGCTTCTAACCTTGGTTCCAGACTCATATATCTAAAGCACCTACCTGATACATCTCATTAGATTTCTAGTAGGCAACTCAAACTTAAAATGCTCCAAACTGAGTTACTACTTCTCCACACTTACCCCCAAACCTGCTCCACCCTGTTTTCTCATCTCAGTAAATGACACCAGCAATCACCCAGCTGCTCAGGCTAAAAAATGGTAAGTGACATGTAACTAACATACAGATGAAATGTGAGTGCCAGTACCAATACTAAATATCAGTAAAACCTAATTTTTAAAAATAAATATAGTTTTAACAGTCTTTTCTTGTACGACAATGGATCATCATGAGCACATGGGAAACCACAGGCCTCCGTCACTGCAAAAGCTTCCTAAAAGGTCCAATGCTTCACACCGTCCCTTTCCGGTGGTCAGTTTTCCTCTTGGTAGCGGGAATGAACTTTGTAAATCAGATCATGTCACAACTCTGCCTAAAAACTCTCCTATGGCCTCCAATTACACTCAAAATAAAAACCCACGGCAGTAAGGCCCAGTATGCTGTGGCTCCTGTCTACCACTTCACCCTCGACTTCTAACCTTCTCCACTTTGTTCTCTCTGCTCTTGTCAGACCAGCTTTCTTGCTTTTCCTCCAACATACCAAACTGGTTCTCAATGAGCTTGATCCTGACTCATGGTCTTTGCATTTACTATTCCCTCTGCCTGGAATTTTCTTCTTCACTGAGGTTTCTGCTTCCCTCAGAACAGCCTTCTCTGACTAATCTATAGAAAAAGCCCTATCCCAATCACCCTCTCTCCCCTTACTATGTTATAATTTTTCAAAGTATTTGTGTCACTTCTTCATATTACAGATGTTCATTTCTTGTTTTCTCTAATAAAATATAAGCTCCATCAAGGTTTATTTATCCTTATATTCCCAGGCCCTAAAACTGAGCCTGACATAAATTGGTTATGCAAATAAATGCTGCTAAACAGATAAGTGACTAATGTTTAATAAACATGATCCTTTACTAAATATTTCTCAACTCTACCGACCAAAAATGTTAAAATAAAATTCAAATAACTTAAATATTCCAGATATCTACGTTTTTACAGAATCAAAAGGGACATTTACATATGACTTTATCTCTGTTCTTATCACCTAATCAAGAGTAGCACTAAAATAGTTAATATTCAAATAGAATAGAGGAACTTTCTAACAACACTGTTAGAAAGAAGTAGTTTCTCCCATGTATATCTGAAAAAAGAACAAACCGTAATGACTCATTTCTGGGGAAGAAAATACAAAAATATACCAGTTATATATTAAAATAGTTGAAAACAGAATTCCTAGATTATTCCATGTTAGCAATAGCTACAAATTAACTAACAAAAGTGGAGATTAATGAAGCATTGTGCACCATTCTTTTATATACTGAAAAGAGCATTTCTATCATTTATATTGGATTATTCTGAGTGAAATAACCAATAAGGCTATTAATCTCAGAACCAATTCCTATCCACTTCATTAAGGTCTACCCTATGAAGGTGCTGATTTTAAAATACGCACACATAAACACACACACATTTCACCCAAGCTTTTATTAGGTATCTAGTTCTGTCTCTTAAAAAGAAAGGACCTCTTACTGACCACAGAATTAAATATATGGTTTGTTTCAGTGGGTGTTCCAGGGCATTTTACACACATGAAGAATGAATCGCTTTATACCAAAGTCTCTGGCCTATTCAGCTTCTAGATCACCATGAAAAATGTCAGCATCTTACCTTTCTTCCAAGTACGAAATCTAAGAGTCATCTGGAACCCACTCACTCTTCTCTCCTTACATCAAGCTGTAACAAAATCTTGTCTTCTTATTCATTTCTCAAATTAATCCTTTCTACTCCTCACATGTCAGAGCCTGATGTTGCGCCTATTATGTGTTACTGCTATAATTTTCTCAAAATTCTAGCTCAAAGCCCCTTTTCCTTATCATTTCCAAATGGCACTATTAAAAAAGTATTAGTTTACCTAATAATTAACCAAATTCTTCTAACATTTTCTACAACCCTTTCTTAGGTCTGAACTCTCAATTTTTACCTCAATCCTTTGTGCTCTATTGCTTCTGTAGTATTAAGTTCCCCTTCTAATAACATCTCACTCTTAGGTTTTCCCCAACTGCTTCTCCCATCTCTTCTCTCTCTTCCAATTCATATGTGGTAATGGGAACTTCCTAATTTTATCTACATCTTTTTTACCTAGCTTCCTTTGAAATTCATCACAAGTGTAAGGGGTGATTCATTTGCTCATTTTCAATCTACCAGGGTAGTGATAATAAGGCTACAACGAATGGGATCGACACAAAGGAACTGCAAAGACAAAATCTATGGCTTGGAGAGGGAGAAACTGAAGATGACAACAAGGAGGAAGGACGGAACTGGGCAGGGGACAGAATATACAAGGGAGAGAAGTCTGAATGGTCTTGGAAATGGGATCAGTTTGACTTAGATTTATCTTTAAAAGGATGTATATCTAAAAGACATCCTGTATCAACAGGAAGAGAGGATAAAGCTACAGATTTTTGAAAGAAAAAGTGCAAAAGAAGCTAAGTTAGATGATCTTATTCTCAATTAAAGAAACAAGGCAAGCTGCAGAGAATGAAAGGATAAAGGCCCATGAATTCCTAATATAAATAAATAAATCATCATAATGAGTAAACGCATTCGGCTCACCTGACTTTAAACATTAACCCTGAAAGACAGCTGATCCTCAAAAACACTGTGTCATGTGTCACAGTGTTACAGCTCTCTTTTTTCCTCTTCCACTTTGACTGAAAGAAAACTTAAAGCCAGTCCACAGAAGGTACTGACTATATTATGCTCTTTTATACCTCTGTGCCTTCAAGCACCATGAATTTCCTCATCTGTATAACAGGGGTTACAGAAGATGCTTAGAACAGTGCCTGACACATAGTAAATATTCAATAAATGTTAACCAGCTATTATTTGTGAATGCTGTTTTCACTGTTCAGAATACCACCAAGTAATGCTAAGGTCCAAAGAATTTAATAAAAACTCCTTGAATACTGATGTTGGTTCAAAATGACAGTAGAAATGTTATAAGTATGTAGCAGCTCTTTCCCAATAATAAAACCCTAGATAGGATCTGGATTCACACTCTTAAACTGCAACTTATAACCTAACAGTTACAGCAAACTACGTCAAAGCATGAGTCATTTTCTCCACCCCACCCTGAGGAACAGAAAAACTCTCTTCCTTAAATATATTTTCAACCCTAGATAAACCTGTCTACTACCTCCCTCCCCTCCCACA